CTTCACACATAGTCATTTGACTTATTATTAATACAAAAAATGTAGATTTTATTTCAAAATGTTGCAGCTTGGTTGAGGTCGGGCTAATATACTGCAAAACTCAAAACTGTACTTAAGTACAGTACTTTAGTAAATGTACACTGTGATTGCTTTATTCATTTATTGCAGTTCTTTCATGAACTTTTTATCCTATTTAACATTTCAATTTATGTTGCATGTGTGCTGTTCAGTGAATTCTTTCTTTTCCCACTTGTTATTTTTCTTGTGTTTCAGTCACGAGCCTTTCTGACTACAAAGATGACATTTGTTACACATGGTACCATAATGAAAGTGAGGTTTTACATTTGAATTCCTCCGTGCCTTAATCTTATGTCATGTGAAATATATATGAAAATAGTTTGATTTCTGCTTCAGTACAATGTTATACGCCTTAGGCAACGTTCATTCACACCATTGAGTTTGAATGGAAAACAGTTTGGAGCACTGAGAAAATCTAACCACTGTGGGGTAGTATTTCTCTTCATAAGAACTTGGCTACACTCACAACTGTGTTAAGAAAGAAACTATTAAAAAAATATATGAATGTACACTTTCGGCATTATATCGATGTGCTTTTGCTGAAATATGAGGGTGTGCATATTAAATAGCAGTGGACCTTGAGAACTGCTTGTTGGCATAATGACTTAAAAGACTGAGAAAAACTTTTACAATCAGGTTTGTTTTCATTTACTTCCTCACTGACATGTACCTTTCAACTAAACTGCATATTGTTTAAACAATGACAACAATAAAGCAGAGTTTTTTTTAACCCAGACATATACTGTATGTAAAAGCATAACTCTTGAAAACAGGCTAAGTGGAAGAATTTACCGTAATTAGGGTATACGATCATTCCTGACCAAAATAAGTATTGGAGGCAATCTCATATTGTTTTCTGTATTTTATTATTTCATGTCTGCACTTTACTCTCACCTCTACACAAATCTGTCTCTTTCACAAACATAAATAATAAAAACAAGGGAATAGTACTGCTAATCAGTGAGATTACGTAAAGAAACACTATCCCTCAGTGCACGTTTTGGTCCCTGTCAACAGACACATACATGATTTTAGTGATAGCAATAATAATGCAAGAATATACTGCTGGTCCTTTTGAATATTTCAGGGAACTGGCTCATTAAAGCAAAATGGAAGGCATCTACATGATGACTTGCATGTGGGTTCATTTTATTATTTATAGCACAATGTGCTGCAGGCACTACTACCTGGATTCAAGACTTCACTCTAGTGGATGAGTCATTGTGTTTTGACCTTTCACCTCTTGTCTCACTCAACTAGCTCACAGGAATGAGAACTCGTCCCAAAATCAGAAGTGTCATTAAATAATCTCTTTTAATTAATTTGCAATATTTTGTTCCATGTTTCGATGCTAAAAGAAAATAACTTGTTCATTTTTGTACTGCTCAAAGAAAGAGATTACACTGACTTAATGCAGTTAGGTCAAAGGTCAATACTGTTCAAATTATTACTCGTTATTCTCACCACTCACTGCTTACTGTATGTCTTGAGATATCTGACTGGAACTTTCTGAAAAAATATGATTGTTTGTCACTTTGTGGGTCCACTACGGAGGTCCAGTTTGCCTTCCGCCTTGCTTACCTTCAAGGAAGAAACTGAATTTTAATTAACAGTGAAGCAACATGCATTCCCGCTCCAAATGCGTTGTTAGCTTGCAAGCTAGTCAGCAATACATTCAAACGTCGCCTGTATTACAGCACAACAGTGTGCAAAGCTGATACCAGGACCTTTGAGGAGCTGTGTGCAATTACAATGAAATGGGTTTTACCGTAAGAAATGTTGTTTACAGAGTGTAATTGCATTATTTCACTACTTTCAACATGAGCCAATTTAATTTAGGTAAATTGTAATATTTTCAGAAATGTGAATGTAACTCACCTTCTATACAAGACATTAGTTCATTCTTGGGAGAAGCAACACTGAGCGACTTCCTTCCACATTGGAGGTGTATGCCACAGTGGGTTGATGTGAATGGCCATGATTGATGGCATACTGTAAACCACCCCACTGATAATGTATTGCTTGTAAACCAATCCCAGTTTCCATACATGCTGCAGGTGCGCCGTATGCCTCTGGCTTCAAGAATACCAAACATAGTCACCACACCCATGTGCACCTTGTGCCCTGTCTGGTTGACTGCCCTTTCCCCCATGCACCATTGATTATCCCATAATGTCAAGGGTGGAGATGCTCTAGGTGTCAGGTGCCATAAGAGTGAATTTGCAAGTGGTGTGTTAAGAGCTCTTTATTCATGATGGAAATAATCATGGGAAAAAAAAAAAAGATTGAGGCAGGAGCAAGATCACTGATAGAATTGAGGTATAAGAGGAGGAATTATTGTGATGTTCATGACATGCACTAAATGTAGAGGTCTAGGTGGTGGATAGATACAAGTGTGCCTTCCCTGCTGGCTTTGCGGTTTCTTGTCCCATTGTATGTTTGCAGTCAGCACTTAACCATGATCACAATCTTGTCAAATGTATCCGCAAGTGTGCATCAAATGTAATGTGCTTGCCATTTAAAGTCACAGCGTGTACAAACAGACTGCTATGATTTCATCCGGCACAACCAGAGAAAAGATTTATGCATCGGAACAGGAGACAAACACTGAGGAGCCGTAAAACAAGTGACATCTATAAAGCAAATTCAAACATATTCAAGTATCATCTTGAAGATACGTAGCCTACACTATAAACGCTCTGCCTGAAGTGTTGAAGACAAATGGCTGAATTTCATCCCTCAACAGGTTACCTTCCAATGCAAAATACTCACATATGAATGTAATTCTCAAACAATTCCGTTGGTCTATTTATTCTGTGGTTCTAATTTTGGTGGTAATTGATACGGTCACTTTCACAGCAACGTCAAAACATTAAGCTGTTTGTCAGACATCATGTCAGAGCTGCCAAACCTGCAAAGGATCACTGAAACTCTTCAAAGGGAGCTTCTGGTTATCAGGATCTACAAATAATTTGCAAGAAGTTCATGGATGTAAAAGACCCACATGCTTATTTAATATCTTAGTTTTTGCACCCTCATCTTGGTGTGAGCTACAGAGTCACTTTAATTAAAGAGATTATTTTATAAGCATGGAAAATTTAAAAGAACAGAATTAAGGACTATTTGACCAGTGGATGTAGCCTACATGTCCTGTTACTGAACAACACTGCTTAATTAGTTTAATGTCTTCTTGCTAAAAGGCCTGTCATGGTAGCTGTTGATTCATCCACCTCTTCATTATTGTGCTTTCCTGTGTATTGTGCGTTAATAGGTAACCCTAAAAATAACAATATGAGGCAGGAAGTGTTAGTCCCTGCATTCTTCAACTAGCTTGTAGTATTTTGTTATTGCATCCCCACTGACACGGCATGTCCAGATACCTGGATTATCAGAGCACACTTAATGTGATCTCCGCTGAACCCTGTACATTCTACAACTAGCTTGTCACATATTCACCAAGTCAATTATCCACCTCATCAGATTAGTGAGCAACACAACTGGTTTTCAATCGTAGCATTGGAGGTGTACAGTACTGTAAGTAAAAAAGCACTTGTTCTTTACTTTACAATATGTGAAACTTTAAACTTTTGTTCCCTTACAGGGAACAGATAGGAATTAGTCTCCTTTTTATTCCACTTTGTGTATTCCATTCTTTTGCCTGTTACTCCTCAGATAAATATTTTACATAATAAACACATATGATAACATAATTGAATGTGATGCATTGTCCAGGTATATAAAAAGGAGTCAGACATAACAGTACGGACCAAATCGACAATTTAACTTGTACTTTTAACTTTGAAAATTTAGTACATTTTTCTACTAATACTGCTATTTTGCTTATATAACATACTTAATGCATGTTTGTAATGCTTATACTCAAAAGCTGCTTGTTACATGTTAATGTATCAATAATGTACCACCCTGTAAACTCAGGTACACGTTGCTCGTAATACTGTACTTACTGTGATTTTTTTCATGCACAACATTAAGTTATAATTGACTATTGATTAATTTTCATTGTGATTTTGCCTAAATAGTCTGATCATCTCTGACACTGATGGAAGCTTAAATAGTATGTAAACCTGTATGAGCAAGGCTTGGTTACCAGCAGGAGAAACAGTTAGTTGCTTTAAGGCCCCAGATATGTGTCTCTGTGATTTAATCCATTGCTAATTTATTAAAAAATGTACTCTATTTAAGTAGTTAAATAGAAATTGTACTTAAGTACAGTACTTGGCTGAATGTACGGAGTAAGTAAGTAATTTACTCAAGTACTGTAATTAGGTAGAATTGCAATGCACTTGTCCCTATGCAACTTTATTTATTTATACCTCAAAGGCAAATATTGTACTTTTTAACTCTTCTAGATTTGTCGCACACCTTTAGTTCATTTTGAGATTACAATTGCATCATGCTCTTTCTGTCCAATGAAAAACATGTATTTCCAAATTTGGTGATTTTTAATTTTTCTGATAAAAATTTTTTAGTTATAAATGATATAGAAAAATACGTTGCATTGCTATAGATTAAACTATCCAACAGTATAAAGTATTTCAAATGAGCACAACCTTAAACATCTAGAGTTGTAAAATGCAACAATAAAGTACTTTTATTTTAGTACTTCAAGTATATCTTGATGAGAATCGCCTACTTTTGGGCATTTTTAAAAGTTTGAATGCATAACTTTTTTATTATAACAGAGTATCTTTCAGAGCAGGATCGCTACTATGGCTTAGTAAAATAACTATACTTCTTTCACCACTGGTAGTTTCACAGTGTGGTATTGGAACTTTAACTTAAGTAAAGGACCTGGACATTACTTCTTCCACCACCGCTTTTTTTTTTTTAAACCTGGTACACGTGGTTCTAAAAGAAATGCACTAACACATTACCCCCATACGGGACCTCCATACGTGTGTGAACAGTTGTTACCTGACTTTTCTCCCCCCTAGCTGCTCATGAGTGTGCAGCGGTAGGCTCTCTGACGTTGTGGTGCAGGTCTGGAGTGTTGCACAGGCCCAGTGCTGCAGGTTGTCCGGTAGGGTGCCCGCCGAGCTACAAGCATGCTGTTGATGTCAGGAGCAGAGGAGGGGAACGTGAGCAATAGCTGAAAACTGTCGGTGCTCTTCTGTAAGGAAACAAACCACGTTTAACTGAACGTCTCACCGCCACCGGATCAGCCCTTTAGCGACGCATTAGCAGGCACCGCTCGTTTCTCTTTTTTTTGTGGTTATTTAATGGGACAGCGAAAAACGCAGAAAACGCAAGGTAGGCTACCGCTCCTGTCGCGAGCTCTGCTACTTTATTTTCATGGACTAATACGACACACACACACACACACACACACGGGGGGGTTGAGAAATGTTTCACTGGAAGGTAAAACGCTCGTCTTCGAAGACAATGTTTGGTTGTTAACGCTAGCTGGACCGTTTACGTGGATATTTTGGGTCGGGCTCGTGAATGTATGAAGTGCTCGGACGTTGTATGTTGTTTTGAAAAGCGTCGGTCAGGCTTCATCTCTTCATGCCTCAAACCGACCAACCACATGAGAAGTCGACGTCCGGACTAAATTAAACCACAAAGAAAAAGGGCCCTCCTGTTTTCACCGCGGTCACCTGAACAGACGAGGAGGACAATGCGCGTGGATCTGTTTTGGATATGTTTGTGGTGTTTCCTCCGTCCTGGTGCCACCGGTCAAGGGCAGTCGACGGCCGTGTGTTCGCCCTCATGCAGCTGCGATGAAGATGGGGGTGCAGACTGCTCCGGGAGAGGGCTCACCGCCGTCCCAGCCGGGCTCAGTGCTTTCACCTACTACCTGTAAGTACTTGGCAACATGCACTGTGAAATACAACCTCAAAAACATGCCTGTGCACCTCAGAATGCCTCCCCGCAAAGGCCTGTGTTTACATCGCAAGTGAATAATGAACATTCAACACCATGCGGTAAACTTTCTACTGAATGGTCCCAACAGAGAAAATATGGCCTCATCAAGATGTTAAGAGTCTTTAAGGGTTTCTGGTCATCATCCAAGGTGCCAAACCGCTCAGAGTTCAGGTCAACTATGCACAGTTATAGCTGGACAACTTGTACTAACTTTTAATTGCAGCCAAAAAGTAAATCCTTCTCTGAAACAACATTAAATCAGCTTCCCATTTCTACTCATGTTGTAATAGACATGTAAGACTGCAACTAAGTATTATATACAATATCAGTTATTCAATCAATGACTTAAGAGTTGAAAAAAATCGGTACACTCATAAATCTATAGAAGACGTATCTGCAGCTCTTTTGATAATTGAGTCATTTTTAAGGAAATGTTAGTCACATTTTCTGATTTCCAGCATATCAAACATGTAGGTTTGATTCTTTATCGCATATGATGGTCGACTAAACTGAATATTTTTGAGGTGGTGGATCATCTGTGATTCTTTCAATGGACATGTCGCACTACTTTTTTGATTATTTTTAAACTGAACAATCAAGTGAGAAAACAATCGCCACGTTCGATATCGAGAATAATTGTTAGTTGCCACGTTCAGTCCTTAAAATGTCCGAATAGTGAAAAATGTCCACCACAAGTTTCAGGAGCCGTCTTGCCGTCGACATGTTCGTTTGTTTCTCCAAAAACAAGTCCCAAATCAAAAATCTATTAACTTTACAATTGTATAAAACGTTTGAGCCGCTGGAACTAGTGTATGTTGAACACTTTTGTTTGATTAAAGACTAAATGATGAATCAGTAATCACAATTGTTGATGCATTTTCTATTACTCGACAACTTGTTTGTTTATGAGATGTTATGAGATGTTATGTGACCGAACCGCAAAGTAAAGTTATGAGTGCTGAGTTCAAAAGCAGGGCCAGATTTAAAGTAATGCTGTGTAGATCATAACCGGCATTGTGTTTAATACAAAATAACTATGAGGGCCATTGATACATTGTCGCCACAAGTGTGATTAAGAGTCTAACTACTACTTCGTGTCAGGGCCCACGTTTCTTTTTAATAAAAAGTAGGTCAGCTCTTTATGGGGTGGCGCAGATGCAGTTGATGAAGAAACTCCTCAGTTTGTTTCACAACCTCTGGGTTAATCATAAACTAAAGTAACCACCTTGGCAACAGCATTCAAAACAGCAATCTATTGTGGCATTTTGTTATTACTACTCTCCCTCAGAAAACAAATAGAAGAAGTTATGACTTGAAGATCACACTCATCTGTTTGAAATGTGTTACTTGGTGAAGAAGTGGACCTGTGTTTCACAGCCACCTAGCCTTAAACTTTTACGGTTTGTTCTTGTTTGGAGAAACCTTTGTGCTGTTTTGCCACCTTTTTAAGAATGGTGGCCAAAGCATCGCTACACCACAACCAATATGATGTGCAACTTTAAATCGCCATTGGTAGGAAAGTGTTGGCTTAAGTAAACAGAGGTAGTGGATTCATATTCCAGGCTCTCAAGACATGTCCCACGAAGGTCTACTGCTTACAGCTGAGACTCTCATCATACTTTCTCCTTATTATGGGCAGTCTGACATCTGGATCACAACTAAAGGATATCAAAAGCCCTTGCTGATGCTCTGCGGCCTTATTTTATGCCAAATTAGAAAACAATTTTCCAGATTGTGCTATCTTCTTGTCTGTGCTCTTCACGTGGGTATCTAAATGCTCTGTGACACATGTAAAGCACTAAACTGCCTCATATATTCGCTTCAACCTCTTAAAAATATGTGAACGGTTGTTTGTCCCCCTCTCTGTCCCACTCTCATTTGTTCTCCTGGTCTCTTGAACTTAAGTTGTCCTCTCCCGCTCCCTTCGTCTTTTGTATGTGGAGCACTGGGGTTAGGGATCATGATGGATTAGTGAGACATATTGCAGCTGCAAGGGCTCCTTCTTTCAGGGCTAATGGCCCCACAATGGTCTGCTGATGTGGAAAGGGGAAAAAAAAAAAGTGTTTTGTCATTAGAACATTTGAACTGAACTTGTACAAGTTTGTTTGCAGTCATCATGTCTTCACAATCAGTTTGATGGCAAAGAGACAATATATAGAATATATAGTCTAGTCAGCGGCAACAACTGGACGGAAGGTGCAAAGTTTGCACATGTAGCACTGCTCAGATGTCAAGAAGTCCTCAATACAAGGACACATATTTCAGGCAATGTCTACTGTGTATTTGTACCTTTGCTCTAGTTAAATCTCATGGCAATAGAGGACCACACATTTTATAATAAATCATATGACGATGTTGGAGTGGACTCTCACCTCCAGCCCACAGGGGCTTGAGTTTTGGCATCTGTGATGGAAACAGCCCTGTCACAGAAAAGCAGATGAGAGAAGAAGGAGGCCCCTCAGCCAGTAACAAAGCAAACACTCCTTTTGAAGGTATGTAAGCCTACCTGCCACCGAGGCTCTGCACACGACTTTAATACAGTGTGTGCATGAGCTCTTGTGCATTTTAAGGGAGCAAGACGGTGTTATTACAGATTGCGTCTCCGTTGTGTTAGCTCCTTTCATACCCTGAACAAGGTTGAGACTTAGGGGAAAAAGGAGGGGTGGCGTCAGGGGTCTTGCACTCTGCTGGTGGAGCTTCACCATTGGTGCCCTCAATCCATTTTTAACTGAATGATACTTTTGTTCTTGGTCAGCAGAGGTGAAAGGAGCCAGTCAGTGGAATATTAACGCTCTCTCCCCCCTCTCTAAGTCCCCAACACTGTCCTCCACTTATAGACCTATTCTCCCCCCCCCCCCATCACACACTTTCTAACTGCTAATGGCTGCCGGTTTTCTCAATCTTGTGCCAGTATTCAAAAATACAAATATTACCCCAAGCTGCGTTGGATAGACATGTATTCAACATAAATGGTTTGTATTGTAAGTAGGCTTAGTGTCTAGTAGTATTGGAGAGCAAAGTCTTTGGACGTGGTAGTTTGTTTCTAACGATGACTGATTGCTTCAAAGTAAAGGCTGTCATGTCTTGTGGGACTCCAAAGATGGATAAGTGGGAGAGGATGTGATGGGTTTTGGAAATGATGGCCAGATGCTTGAAAGTTAATTTGAAAAAGCAAATAATCTTTACATGCAACGTTCGTCATGTGGACTTGTAACGACTATCCTGCAGGTAATCCTCGGTAGCTGACATTTATACAGGTGGACTGTGAATCACTTTAAGTGGAGTATTGTCTGAAATGGAGCAGATGGGAGAGCGGCTAATTCTACATCCCACCGTTCATCCATAAAATAGCTGCTAAACCTCACCATCTTTCTGTTAATAATGTGGTATATGAAAGATAAGTTAATTTCTAAACGTGTACACATTTACTATGTGTTTTATTAAGTGTTGATGCATCACACACACTATATTTGATGATGCTGATTATATTTTGACTGAACTGTGCATAGTAATGCTTGTTATAGCATTGTTCCTGTCCTCACAGTGTCACGCTGAGAGGCCTGGGAGTGTGCTGCAGCAACAGTTTAATTATTGGTTACGCACAGCATCGGTGATTGTATGTTCTGAGGAAATTATGATGCATTGCACCACCGGCCTAATGTGATACAATACTTGTGAGGGGTGATGCAGCTACTCTTGTCTTGTGGAAAGAAGGAAGAAGTCTAGTTTTCAATCAGTGCCTGATTACAACAAATAAGAGAAGAGAGTGTTATGCCAGTAGACACACGATTTCCAAAATGTTACATAGAACTTAAATTAAAGGGAACTTGGTAAGATCTTGATTTTTGCAATACAGTTTATTTTCCAAAAATGTTTAAATTGTTAAATTGGGGGGAGCTTGTCCACATCTGGAAATCAAGTTTTACTTGTTTAACAAAGAGATAAAGTTACATTATAAATGTAAAAGGAAGAGGATTTGAGAATAAGGATTTGGGAGTTTTTATGAAGTAGAATCGTTTGAGCTGCGGCTTGTTTCCGGGAGAAAACATGCTTTAAAAACAAATCTTTGCCAATTCATCTCAATTAAGTCCAAATGTATTGTGTTTTCCTGAACATGTTTACAATAAGGTGTTCTATGGTGTAGGACAGTGTTAGACGGATGAACGATACGGTAGCTGCATCTGCTTTCCTCTCGGCATTAAAGGTTTCATTATGGCCGAAATGCTGGATTGTAGTTTATTCAGACCACAGGATCTTTGTTCGGGTGCATTTTTTTATTTTTCTAGGAGTGCGTTTGTTTCATCCACTCTGCCACACAGGCTTGATTTATGAAGTGCTGCACGGATTGTTGTCCTTCTGGTGAAACCTCCGGCAGGAGTCGATGAACTCTCAAGTTATGTCTCACTGCGGTTTCTTCCTTCTTGGCCTCAATCTAACTCCTTTCCTGGTCGTTTGGTTTTGTCAGGTGTCAAGATTTATTAAAGTCTGCCGGTGATAGCGGTGGCCGGAGGCATTATGTTGTCAGGTTGTCTGTCCGGAGGTACACACGTGGCTCACTAACGGAGGTAGATTCTTCAAATTTGGCACAAACCTCCACCTGATTAGATGTTACTGGTCAAAGGTCACTCAAACGGTCACTGTGACCTCACGTCCGTCTGACCCGTTCCCGTGAAAGCACCGTCACAGGAAGGCCTTGAGGGAATGTCTTCAGATATGGTACACATTTCCACTTAAGGATGAACTGATTAGAATTCTGTGGTTGAAGAGGAAGGTCACTGTGACCTCACAAAACACATTTTGGGCCATAACTTAAGAATGTGTATGCTGAAGTGATGACATTTTGGACAGACATGGATCTAAACTGCAAATTGACTGATTGGCGGAGGCATGCAACTGCAAGGCAGTCATTCTAGTTTGTAATTATGAAGCTTTTTGTGCTCTTCAAAATGGTTTTACACAGATTCCCAACAAGCACTTTTTGTCAGATGAGCAGCACAACACTTACACCCAGTCATTTTTTAGATGCAAATATTTATTAACAAGTGGGCTCTTTGTAAGACTTTGTGTGGTTATTTAGTGGACGTGTCTTTCTGTAACCAGGCCAGGACTTACAAACAGCAGGTGCAACTGGCTGCAGATATGTGCTTCATTTCTGTGTTTAAGTGTTGTGGACAGCTGTTATATTATTTATATGTATGTATGTATGTGTGTGTGTGTGTGTCTGTGTGTGTGCGTGGAAGGAAATGCTTCATATTCAAATTTTGTCCAATAAATTGTATTGGCCACAGGTCAGGACTTTCAAGTTGCTCACGCATCTTAATGATGTTTCAGGAAGAAATGTGAGTTTATTTTCTGCACATCTTTTAAATCTTACGTCGGGTTGTCGGAAGTGACACAACACAAGATTAGATGCATTACATGTGTAGACTAAAACCTCTTTATGCTCAACAGCAGAAATATGTTAGTTGATCTCAACAACAGATGTACAAGACCCCAGTGTATGTACTGTTCATCTCATTCATTCTGAGCACTTTCATTATAAATTGATAGTCTAATTAAAACGCATAATTTCAGTATATGATGACTATGTACTGTTTAAAAACAAGTGTCATTGCCCCCAAGGAGACTTAATTGATACATTGTCTCCCGCATTTTCATTGTGCATTTAAATTTAACATTCAAATCAATCACACTATGCATAGTGTTTTAAAAGTTCGGTATGTAGTATAAATTTTCTGTTGACTGACTCACACAGAAATTGCATTTTTGTATTTTGACTTGTAGAATATGTTCATACTTCACCTCAGCAGCCTTCTTTTCCTTTTCTCACAGCATGTCTGCTACCTCCTGAGATTCTATCTGTGCTTCCTCTCTGCTAAAATGAAGCCAAATGGCACATGGGATAGAAATTTACCGATACCTGTTTGTAAAAGCGTTTAGGCTCGAAACCATTTATCACAGCTGCATTTTTAGTGTCCCCTTCAATCTATCTTAGCAGGGACAGTCCAGGGCCTTGATGAGTAAAGCAGCCACACACAGAGGGAGGGAGGAAGTGTGATAGAGTCATGCTGGCCTCCTGTTCTCCCCAGCCCTGCATGTGGTTCAGACCAGACCAGTCAACAGTCTGCGCAAGATTTAGTTAAGCGGTTTAAAATGTGGTTAGGGATGTATCCATCTGACCACCAGTGGTGGCAGATCGGCAGCAGTGGTTGCAAAGCACCACCAGAGACGTCGTCTGGGTAGAAAAGAACGATAAGGAGTGGTTGGATGTTGATGGACGTTGTGTTGTAGCTGCACAGCCTGTGTGGTAATTGGATAACCAGGTAAGTGGAGATGGGACACAGGTCGCAGGGATGATGAGGGTTCTGTCAGGGCCCGCCTTTTAAGGCTTCTGTGTGTGTGTGTAATTGGGACTGCAGCGGAAGGGCAATATGATCCTTGTAGGATAGAGGGGCCCACACACAAGGTCCTAGAGAGATCTGGCAGTGAAATTCAAGATGGCCAGTTGGAGAGTGAAAGGAGGGCAGGGGGTTGCTTAATTTGTGAATCCTGTATGTTTTTCCAGTCTTGATATGTCCCGTGTCTTCACATATGGAGGCGGGGGTAGGTTAGTGGATTCCTAATCAGATTAGGGATCCAGAGCTGAGTTTGCTCTCACTGGTCTCCAGTTGACCTGAGACAGCCTTTTGTCCTCTCTTTTAATGTGACAGTCCCTTACTTTAACACATTTAACCTATTTCCAGTAGCAAATACGTATTTCTTTTTGTATTATCATAAAAATAAAACTCCTAAATTCACATTAGCTTTGTGGGGAAGCAAATCGAGTCCTGTGTGCATATCTTTCATGCTGCTACATGCCTATCTTTACTTGAAAAATGAAGATCCCTGGGGCTAAAGAGAAGGGATTTTTCAAGGAACTCATGCAGGCACAGTTAAAAGACTTATAACTGCCATAAGGGATGGGTGACACCACTACCCTGTTGGTTGTATGTCCTACGTGATGCAGCCAAACACCTTGTCATGGTAATATCTTAACTGCAGCATAATATGCAATAGCTAAGTTGATAAAGTAAGGCCTCATTCACAGATGATTATGTCAGTCAGTAAAATCTTTACACAACACTTCAAAAACCAAGGTTTAAAAAGGCTTCACACGTACAAAAGTAATGCAATACAAATAGTTAAAATGGCTAAAAAGTAAGAATACAATCTGTGTCGAGGAAGCGTCAGTGAAAAACCTTTTGAGAACAAAGTGATCTGTTGTTGGAAACCGCTTGAGGTTAACAGACTGATTTAAATGTATGAATGAATTCAGAGATTGTACTGTACTTTCTAAATGATTATTTGTTTCCACAGTGACCTGAGCATGAACAACATCACTGAGCTTCCAGCATTCGTATTCAAGAACTTCCCCTATCTGGAAGAACTGTGAGTACATGCCACGTTTTTTTTCCCCCCTTGCTAATGATGTATTTACTCTGTGCAATGTTGACATGAGGGCTTATGATATGCACCTGGGTATTTGAGTTTGGGCTGCAAAACACACAGTATTGGTGCACAACATGCCCTTCTTCTCAGCTGAAGAAGATAAGCGCAGCATTACGTGAGGCTACGAATCACTCAACCATTCATGAATTGAACAAGGGCGGTCACAAAAGGTGCAGTGGAGCTCAATTAAAAAGGTGAGGTGAGACAACATGTATTGAAGCTACAGTCACGTGACATCCTGTGTGGAGATTTTGCTTTTAAGGGATTATCAGGGTGGCAACAGCACATCTGTGCTCTGGGGCTTTTGTTGAGTGGCGTACATCTAATCTTAGTGGGTGCTTGTTATTTCTTTACTCTTTAAACACTCCGCTGTCTGGCTCGGTGCTAGCTGGGAGTCAGAGATAAAGATCTGTCTACCTGATATCAGGTAACATGCAGCCCTGAGAAAGCCAAATGGCCAGTGAGCGGTTCCAGCTCTACTTTAACCGCTTTGCGGGTGTGTTTCTTCAGCTCTCGTGCATCTTTCAGCCGGGCCGGGTCTTCAGCCTCTTCTTTTCCAAACACCGCTCCAATCTGCTTTGTCGAAAGGCAATTTACTTTTCATCGCATCGTGTGGAGGAATGCAAGGCAGGAAGGAAGAGGGCAAAATAATTGTTTCCATGGCAACAAGGCTGAACCCCCCCCCCCCCACAGCCTTGCTACCACTCCTTTCTCGTCTTAGGTCATCATAATGGATGGACTGTCGTCGGGGTGCCATTGATTGACATATGCCCTCAGTTCATGTGTGTGTTTGTTTAACCTTTTTTTTTTTTTTTCTGGGAACAAATCGTCAGGCTGGTCTCAGTGGACTTTGGTAGATGACTGTCTCGCTCCAGGGCTGCAGCAATGTCAGTGAACCAGAGCATGGGCCCCGAGGGCAAAGACGAGGAGAGAAAGAGTTGACATAGAGAGAGAAAAGAGAGTGGGACGTCCTCACGCAGGACAGGAGCGGAGACGAGGGAGGAATATTCCCTCCTTCGTAGTCACACAAGCTCCTCCGCTCTCTTTCTTTCTTCACAAAGCTCCGCAGACGTGATGACAGACATTCTCTGTCTCCTCTGCAGTTTGTTTATAGTCTTGAAATAAGCTGTGACCGATAGGCTCTCTATATGTCTTCAGTAAAATCCGGCAATGACATCTGGGTCTAGATATGCTGCGTTTTGTTGACGGAATGATTTAAAGTGTATTGTTATTGTTATTTGATATGTTTTTATATATATATATATATATATATATATATATATATACTGGGTATTTACTTTTATATGTTTTGTAAAACACACGGTATTGCATCCATTTGTATGAAATGTGTTCAATAATTAAAGATTTGTTTTCTGTATGAATTCGACTGAAAGATATGCTAAAAAATCCATTTACCTTGATAACAATAATGTAACAATAACTATGTTTAAATAGGGCAGAGCATGACGTCCTATTTAGTGTTGGCTCACATCTGATATGTTTGTTCTGATCAATTTTATTCTGATTATTTGAAGAGGAACTCTACACTAGGGTTTCTGGCAGTACATGTATTGTGTGTTACAACTGTTTGTTTTTTTTGCTAAAAAGTAGCTTAAACGTGTCTGCTTGGGTTTTAAAGTTTGGTTCTTGCCGCTTTCCCCTAACTGGACGAAGACTCTGAGCTCCATTTCATACATTCATCTGTCCTGCATGAAAGAGACTTCAATGGCAGTAGACGCAGCATAAAGGGCCCCCGATTACTGTGCTGTATCAGAACTTAACAAGATATTTAGGGCAGGAAAGAACAACAATGTTAACATGATAAACAGCAGGGCCACAGCTATGTCCTGACACTCCCCCACAGTAACACAGACACACACACTGTAGAGTGTCCAGTAGTGGGGCCACTAGCTCAGCTACAGCTCTGGTACGCTCACAGGAACTCTCTCAAAGGAACCTAGATGTGCTTCTAGTGATCGTCAAAACTCCACCAGACACCCTAACCTTCCAGCAAAGACACTGAGAGACTTTGCCGTTGCATTTGGGAATAAAACACACCTGCTGATTTGATGCCAAATTAACCCAAAAGACAGAAGCTCCGTGGTCAGCTTACTCCACGGTTAACATTCTGAAATGCACCATAGGAGTGGTAGTCAACATATACCCAAATTATTTTCTGTCCACAGATATTTGATTTTTAATCAAACAACAAGATACTTGAATATCAAACACACTTGATGATCTCGTGTGCTGTTGATTGAACCAGGAAAGTGACATTCTGATCCAAGCTGTAGAAGTTCTCCCACTGTGAGTCACGTTGACTGTGGGAAAGTCAAAGAGACTCTTACTTCCAGAACCAGAGGCGCCTGAAATAGCTCCTCTCACTTAGCAACTCTGTTACATGGTTATTGGAAATTGCAGTAAGTATATCTACATTGCCAACAGAGGAAATTAACCTACAGGCTTATTGTCACAGCTACCTGTACCAACGATGGTACAAAAAGGTGCGTACTACATGTGGCAGCCTGTCGTGGGGGAGTGGTGCTTATTTGCCACATGAGTTTGCCAAATTGAAAGTAAATTTGTGTTGTTTCAGCAAAATTTAAATCCTGAATGCCTTTTTTTTTGCTGGTGGTAAATTATGTTTGTCGACCTTTACTGTCGGAGTGCAGAGCTCTTTGTGTGAATTTGCCATTGACAAAGGTAGACCTGTAGGAGTGGTGTTGCACAAGGAGAGGATTTAGCCTTTCCTCAACGAGATTTAGCACATTCTTCTTTCCTTGTCAAAGCCTCGGGGGACATGTACTGAATTTGTTGAAAGATGCAAGAGGAGGAGAAGCTCTTTATGTTGTGAAACCTGATGGATATCTGAATGATTTGTCAGACCATGTTTGCATGTGGTGGTTAGCGGCTTGTGACAACGATTGCATTTTCTGGGTTGTGTTTGAGTTCTTATGGAATTAAGTCGTATTGGTATTAGGCACATTGCTCACTGTACATTTGAAATCAACAAGAATGACACACCGGCTACAGGCAAGATTTGTGTCATTTTAAATTTGGAGGCGTCCATATGCGTGTCACAACTTGTACTGTAGTCGTGACTGTAAGTGCAGATTGCGGTCTTGTAATTGAAAGCTGTGGATGGTTCAGTGAGATAAGCAGCTGGTGGCTCTGATTCTCTGGTTAAGTGACATAAAGCCATTGCAGAAAAAAGAGGGCGCAACCTAATTACGTGAGTAAAAGAGTGCCAATCCTCAAAGGGTGAAAAACAATGTAAATAATATGATGGGGAATGTGATATTTATGTTACTTTAATGTATTAATTTCAGGAAGGTTACAGTCTCCTGATCGCTCCACACAGATCCGATGTTTTTGTTTGCTGCCATTTTCCATCCCATCTGTGGACCGGAAGCTTTAGTGGACGATTAGGTCACGTGCTTCATGTTAGAGGTCTACCGACACAAATACGGTAAAATAACGATTGTTTGCAGCAGGAAAAAGCAAATAGCCGATTAATTGATCCGATATCGCACACGGATATCTTCAGCAAAAGTGACCTTCAAATGGACACATACGGCCCACAGATGTATTTAGGCTATATATACTGTGTATGTATGTATGTATGTATATGTATGTATGTATGTATGTATATGTGTGTGTGTGTATATATATATATATATATATATATATATATATATAATTGGTTGAAAACTTTTGTGAGAATTATGAAAGGGAAAACTGTTTTGTTGGAGGGCTATTTGCCTACCACTGACATCAAGCTTATGGTAATAACAGGTAATTCACTGATTACTTCAGTCTCATCGGGGACTCGCAGCTATTCGTACTTGTGAACTACAGCTTTGTTACGGAAATGTCTTCAGGTGAAGTAGCTCTGTGATTCAGGGAAATATGTGGCACATGAGCAGTTTTGAGTCTACATGATGGGTACGCGGTCTTGAACCTCGGTTCTCAGGCTCACACCAACAGCAGCTCTTGTTGCAGGGAATTCGGTCTGGTCTGACTCACGTTGCAGAGTGATAAATCTGTTGCTAATCTCGAAGGCCAGTATACTTGGGCTATGTGTCCCAGTCAGCCAGTCCCATGCTTATTTACACCCCTGTTTCCTATAGACTTCCTGTTCCCAACAAGAAAGGGAGGCGTCAACTCGGTCTAAAGTCATTAATGCAGGGACTGACGAAGCTTTCAACTGAAAAATGTTACAAGGAGAAGACTGTTGCAAAGCTGGACTGCTTGTGTCAGCCTCAGAGGGGTGAATCAGTTTTTCACGCACTGAATAGTAATGGTTGGGGGGCTCGGAAAGGGATCTAAAGAGGGGATATCCAGGAACAGCTCTAATCTCTTGTGAGTGACGGACTAAGTGACAACAGGCCATGTCACAGACACATGTCTTTGACACCCCAGGCCCCATGTTCAACTTGAGAGCTGGAACCTAATCGACTGAGGCACAGGATGTGGAGGGGTTCTTTAAACACTACGCATTGCTTTATTCAGAAATGTATCTTGTAGCTTTGAAACATTTGAGAAATTTCCAAAATATATACGTGTGACTCTTTTCTCTCGCTACAGACGACTTGCAGGGAATGACCTGTCATTCATCCACCCTGAAGCCCTGTCTGGACTGCATCAGCTCAAAGTCCTGTAAGCATGCACCCTCCCTGTCACCACCACCGCCATCAACACACACGCACACGCACACACACACACACACACACACACACACACACACACACACACACACACACACACACACACACTTATGGCTGTGACGTTGTGATGTTTTCAACACACTGGGGGAAAGAGTAAATAGTGCAGTTTGTGTTGCTGTCAGTTATTGCCACCCTAAACATAGTCATACAATTTATTTCCACCCTGGGATATAATAAATGCTTTTTTCCATCCCTTCCCCAACACTATCTGTGGCTGTGAAAACACCTTACACAGAATTGCATACAATTCCTGTGTAAAAATTAGTTCTGCGTAATTTCCATTGGGCAGCACACCCTAGGGTGCTTGCACAGACTCGGAACACATTGAACAACACACAAAGCGCTGCCCTGTTGATTCTGCAACAGGCCAAACGTTCAAAGTCCTGTTGATCGTCAGGTGAGGTCTTGGTTGCATGACTGAAAACACAAACACATGGAGGTATTTTATATGCTTATCAAATCAAGGGATTCATTCACATTGTTACCACACAAGTGAAAACAAAACAAGTATTTTGGCTATATTTAGCTCAAACAAACCCTATTTCTTTACAAATACTGCAACCATGTAAACATACACAATTTCACAGGCTTTTAAAAGTGAACATGAAGATGGGTACCTTCATAACTCAGTCTGTGTTTAAAGTTAAGTCATCAGCCTGGAAACGGTATCAGGAATCAGGAGAACTCCATGAAGACGATGTCGCTCAGTGTGGAGCCACACAATCAACAACAAAACCGCACACAGGAGGCCTTCACAAAGCTCCCTCACATAGTTGGCATGAAATGTATCTGTGGATACATATTGTTTTAAATATAAAGTGCAAGAAAGTGTTGTGAGTTGAGTTGACGTCATCATTTTTGCCATTTTTCCTGCAGAATGCTCCAGAATAATCAGCTGAAGACTGTGCCCAGTGCAGCCCTGAAGACTCTTCTTTCTCTCCAGTCTCTGTAAGTCATATGCCACACACACACACACATACATATATATATATATATATATATATATATATATATGCATTGTCTGCTCAAAGAACCTTGAGTTTCACTTTGAGGTAACTGATTTCTCGGTCTGACCGTCAGACGAGATGCGTTAAAGGTTTGTGTAAAAATGAGGTCAGTACTTGGGCTTCGACTGTCCTGATCGTTTGTGGCAGTGTTTGAAATTCTTGTGTCAAGGATGAGAGTGTTGTACTGTGTGTACTCCACCACGTCGAACCACACTAAAACGTCTCAATAACTACCGGATTGATTGCTATGAAATTTTGTACAGACATTCATGGTCCTTTGAGGATAGATCCCAATTATTTCCCTCTAGTTCCACCATCGTGCAGTTCACATTTGTGGTTTTAAGTGAAATGTCTCAACAACTATCAGATGGATTGCTATTTAATTTAACTGTTCTCTGTGTCAATTTAGGACCTGACAGTCTTGTTAGCATGAATGTAGACTCTTAGTCAGTTTAACATGTGCTGACTTCCTGACGAATACACTAGAAAATCACACTTTAAAATCAGGTATATTTACAGTTTTATAATTACAGTATGTCAAACTTTAGCATGCATTTAGAGTCGCATCATCTTACTCCACCGTTCCTAGTGGAGTCACGTTGAGCATCAGATTGCTCCAACTGACTACATTCTGGCAGATAGTGGCCGTTCAGCAAGGTAGTTTAACATGTACCATAACAGTATGTTACACTACTGTGAGATGGGTTAGTATGAGAGTAAAGACTTCACTCTTTCTCCAAGTCGAGAATAACTGTTGAAATCTCAATTATTTACTCAGGACTTTGTTGATGTCATGCAGGGGTGGATCCACTCGTATCACATACTTTACTCTTCCCGCAGTGTTTGTTGTGCACTAAGCTCAGCCATAGCCCTGTGCAAATGTAGGTCAGTCTTATTCAGCAGATCTGTTGCTAATGTTTCTCTTCTTCTGTTGGATTGTTGAGTTTTCCAGGAACTTGTGTTTTTACACGTGTTTACTCTTAACTGTCGGCCCTCTCACAATTTCCTGCTCCACTCGCCCTCAGTTTTTGCATCGTTTTTCTGCGACTACTGAATGCCAGTTTCATTGAGACTCATGATATGTACATGTCTCTATATTTGCCACCTCTAAGAACCAATGGAGGGATTAATCCAGCTGGAGAAACTTGCTGAAAGTCCAGCTTTCAACTATTATCACCCCTCTATAACCCTCCCCGTGTCCCTTGCTTCCCCTCTTCTTTTTTCACCCGCTCTTCTTTCTTTTTAACAGATGTCTTTTCTCTGTGAGGGTTTTAAGGTCTGTAGCTGAAGTAATATGCTTTGACAGAGCCAGTACTCGGTTTGTATAAAGTTTTAGAGAGCTGAATGTCAATCAAGACTGTTTTCCTTCCAGCCCAGGCACTTGAGGAATTTTGAGGGAGGGCGAGACACTCAGTAAGGGAGGACGGCAGGAGAAAACCGGGTGGTGATGGTGAAAGGAACCCTTGTGCATTCATAATACTGCTTAAATATGAATGTCCTTCATACCACCAAGCTATTGGCTCCTGATCAGAATTTCATCTGTTACAATATAGCCAGTAGGTAACAGTCAACATCAGATTCCCTGAATATTCACACCATGAAACTTGAGAATATTGCTCTATTATATCACATACATTTTTGTGAGAAATTGTGAAGTGAATACATCCGATTTACCGTCTGAGCTTCTACTCGTCTGTGTTGAGAGGAACCATTTTAGGTGCAAACACCATTCAGCTGCATATTTTTGGAGGTGAACAGGTGGTGCTGCTCTTTGCAATAACGGTTTTCCAAGACAGTTCAATGCCTTGAAGAAGTCTAAGTTTGGTTGAAATGATGGTGATAGAATAGAATACATGCTGCTTTGTGTGCAGCTCACTGCTTTTTAACCAACTGCGTAGAGACCAAAGGTCAAACTAAATACACGTTAATAGATGGATTTGATGAACTTTGCGGTGCATGCTATTTGCTGCCTTGACCTAGAAAAGTGACAATAAAATGAAAGTAACAGTTGCTTTAAATGTAATATGATATTATAAAGCTTTCTTTGTTGTTTTATTTGCTGTTTGTAAGGCATTCATAGCAGCATCATATGCCTGAGGTCAATAGCATATCATCCTTTTCCTTGTGCCTCTGTTCTGCAGTCGGCTGGATGCGAACCACATCACTACAGTTCCAGAAGACAGTTTTGAAGGCCTTCAGCAGCTGCGCCACCTCTGGTTGGATGATAACAACCTGACGGAAGTCCCGGTCGGTTCTCTGAGACACCAGGCGAACCTGCAGGCTCTGACGTTGGCACTCAACCGCATCTCGCACATACCAGACAATGCCTTCGCGAACCTTACCAGTCTAGTTGTGCTGTAAGTATATTAACCTTCTGTTCTAATTGTGGTTGATAATAAAGATCTGCTCAGTAGTGTTAAAGTACAAATATTTACTGTATATATATGTTTCTCTGTTGTTTTTGACCAGTCAGCCTTTGTCACAATGTGCAGGGTGAGGGAAAAAAAAAGGACAATACTCACCAAACCACACAGTGCAGTCAGCTGTGTTTTACGTCGCCACTAAACAAAGCTACAAAAATACTCCGAAGGAAAACATTTGTAAAGTAGCAATATCATGAAACCATCAGTCACTTGATTAAAAATGATTTGGACGATTACATACCATGGCATTTGATCAATTAAGGTTTTTGCTGGGACATAATTTAAAATGTTGAGTATTTGAGTAATAAACAGTCTCGGAGTCATTAAAATAAACTTCCCCACGACAGCCAGGAGGACTTTGCTTGCAATCTTCATAGACCTATAATAACGCAGGAGGAACAACCTGCTGGAATACTTTTTTTAAAAACATTAATTAACCAGGTACACTGACTGAGAACATTCTTGTGTTGACACCTGAGGGAGTAGCTGAAGAAGTGAAAGTCAATAGGTTTTCTCATCTGATCTCCCTGTCTGACTTTGTACCATCCAGTTAGTAAAGTATGACTGTGCTGCTAGTTCTCTGCTCTAAATTAAAGAAGCTGTAATTCCTGTTTAGTTTTGCATGTATCATATGCATTATTCTGTCACCACAAATCAATGCAAAGTACCTCTCCTTGTTTCCTGCTCTAGCTCTGAATGTATCCTCTGAGCGACTGCAAATCCGATTCCAAACACAAACATACTGTAGTATTTATTTCCACTGCTTACAGTCAATAAGTCAACAAAACGGGTAGCTACTCATGCTCTGCTGTGTTTTTGCATACACGTTTGCAGTGAAATATGCCATTGGGGTTTGAATGCTGACAACACTTTGAAAAAGTAGCTCGACTCCGAGCATTAATGTAAAATCAAGATTATCTTGATGTTTTATGCATGGAGGAGAGCTAAAACCTTCCATTAGACTCGAGGAACGGGTACAAATATGTGACACATTTACAATCTGTGGGATTGTTCCAAACAAACACACGCATTGAGTGGTATTGCTGCAGGGTTAGCATAAACTCGTCAGGGTAAACAGGAAGTAAAGACCTTCAACCTATTAGGCGAGGATAGCCTTCTGCATACACGCATACAGTAGAGACACCTGATTCAGAAATCACACGCTACCGTTTAGAGATTATTTGTGGAACTTCTCACAAAAGCTGCAAAACAAGACTGAAATAAAACCCGTGATGAATGTCATAGATTATTTAAAATCTGTCGTGGTATGAAAACTCACAGATGTGTGTGTAAAACTGCTTTTGCTTTTATAGACATCTTCATAACAACAGAATTAAGGAGATAGGAGACACCTGTTTTTCTGGACTCGTGAACCTGGAGACACTGTGAGTGCACAGTCATACAGTTGTTAATGTGTGTGTGTGTATGTGTGTGTGTGTGTGTGTGTGTGTGTGTGTTTGTGTGTTTGTGTTTGCGCTTGTGTTTGTGTGTGCTAACAGCTCCCCCACCCACCTCTGCTCCGGTCCTTCAGACATCATTGTGTCCACTTCCTCCTTTAATTGCTCTAAGATAAATAGAGCAAAGTACACGATGCTTATCAAATCTGCCCTCCCACTGTTCACTTCCTCCTGCCACACAGCCATGAACAATCTTTAAGTGACGGCCTTACCTAATGGCAAACAGCTACTGTACAACACTCAGGCCCTTACAGGAGACTAGGGATGTCCTCATACTTTTTTTTTATCCCAGTCTCATACATTTAATATGGAATATCTGCTACGGCTGATCCAGTCTTTACATGTTCCTACATAATAACACAGCGCAGTGGACACTAGGCCACACGTAGGCCTATATAAATATTATTAAAGGCAGTTCTGCAACGGTTCAAATGCTGTTTACGTTAACATCAGAACTTCGTAGGCGTTCACCATGCTGCCAGGATACTGCGTTATTTAATTGCTGGTTTGCAGTTCATCTGCTTGCGCTGCTTCACGTTGTGATGAAATGATAATCATTCATTGATAAGTCGGTCGACAGAAGATTTACATTTTTAATAATGGATTATCATTTTAGAAAAAATGCCAAACATTTGCGTTTTCCGCATTCTCAAATTTGAGGATTTTCGGCTTTTCCATCACTTCTTATTTTTGTACATTGATTGTATTCTGGTGTTGGACAAGAAGCAGTGTGAAGATGGACTCTTATGAATGACTAATAATATATATTTTTAAATCAACACTTTTCCATAAAACGTTGAACTCGTCATTGGGATTCTGTACATTGAGCATTGGTACTGGTTAGTTATTCATTGGTTATTGCTGCTAAAAGAGTAAATAATTTAGCTCCGCTAGCCAGTCATTTATTTGATGAGTGATAACGATGCTACTTGTCTTAGTTATTTATAATAAGTACTTGACTTTGTGCTGACAGCAGTCACAGAGAGAACCAGATAAGTTAACACCCCTGTTATCAATGCTTAGTTGTAGATTTTTTGGTTTTAATGTACCATTGATTAGTGGAATGAATTTGTGACGTCAAAGTGCAAGAAAACAGCGCTGATGTCCTGAATCTCTCTCTGTCTCATCCTAGAGATCTTAACTTCAACAACCTGATGGTTTTTCCCAAAGCTATAGAGGCCCTGCCCAAACTCAAGGAACTGTGAGTATATTGTGCTGTTTTTGTACCGAGACTAAAGTCAAGGACCAGTTAAATCATCAGAAAGAGAAGGACTTTTCTAATGTCTTCTAGTTATTATATGATTCAAAACACACAAATATCTGAGAAAGTAGCTCTGAACTAAAAAAAAGGGAAAACTAGAGCACACATGCAATGAAGCAAAACAGTTGTAACCTGCCCTAATTTTTGTGACTCATTGAATTGTTGAAATCACAAATATTGTCTGTCCGTATTCACATACAGATCAGGTAAACAATGACTCGCATCCTATTTATTTTAATATTATTACATTTTTACTAATTGGGAAAGAAATCTGAAATCTTAAGTTTCAACATCTGTGCTTTTATTTTGAAGGCAAAACAGCTCAAGTCTTATTTCCTGGTTTTCCTGATGAGCGGTTGTTTAGTTAATGAAAGGATTATCAATTGACCGATCTTGATTTCTGTAGCAGACAGTGATAGTCAATTCACACCTTTTTGTTTGTGCTTTTTTTTTGGTTGAACTGTGCAGTTTGCCTTATGCGGCATAACTTTTTGCATTTCTTGAAGCATACGTTAACTTAACTTACACATTATGTCAGGGTTTCATATTGAGCAAAGTGTCTTCACGCCGTGTCCTTGATATTCTTCCTGCAGCGGGTTTCACAGCAATGATATTGCCTCCATCCCTGAAGGGGCCTTCCATAACAACCCCCTGCTGCGAACCATGTAAGGTCAAACTCACTGACACTACTCAGAAACAGACGTAGCACACTAATAACTCACTTTTTCACAAATGCTTCCATGGACAGTGTACAGAAGGCTTTCTGGTAGGCACAAATACAGTATTAGCTGACAGCGTGAGGCTTCAGTAGATGAATGTCCAGAAGATGGTGCCATTCTCGCATAGTAACTGATTTTGGTTTGAACTCTCCCCCTCTGCTCTCGCTGCCCTCCCAGACATCTGTATGACAACCCGCTGTCCTTCGTGGGCGCTTCGGCTTTCCAGAATCTGTCTGACCTGCACTCTCTGTAAGTCCTGCAGTTAGGCACGACTCCTGACAAATCAGTGTTGAAAAGTTTTGTCTGAACTTGGTGACTTAAACACTTAAAAAAAACAACATATAACTTAAGTGTGTTTTGAATCCATTACGACTCACGCTTTGATGTTCTGACTTTGTGATGCTACTGTTCGTCACCATGTGCGTTTCAGGATGCTGCGTGGGGCCAGCATGATGCAGGACTTCCCCATCCTTACGTGGACTAATAACCTGGAGAGTCTGTAAGTGAACTTGGATGCAGCATCGTTTCATGCTTGTGGTTTTTGTGTGTCTCAGGATTGACTGATTCGGCTTTTCATTTTCAGGACCCTGTCGGGAACCCAGATATCGTTCATCCCCGCTGATCTGTGTGAGAACCTCAAGTTGCTTCGGACACTGTAAGAGACCTTTTCCTTTTCCTTCGACTTTTGTCCTGCAGTAGTGCTCAAAATATATCTTCTGCAAATAATTGTACTAACCGAAGATCATTAGGTATTTAGCGGGACAGTAGAAATTGTCCCAGTATAGTTTGATGGGTGAACTATAGTTTTAACACCGCTACAGACTGGATTTTAATCATTCGTTCAAAAAATGTGGCATTTTAGGAAAGGGGGCATACTGAGGTATCGGGGAATTCTTTATAGACCAATTGTATCTTACAGAGTGGAGCATGACAAACAATCCAACTTTCTTTTCTTCATTCCTCCATTTGAAATAGTCTCATTTATTTAATGAAGCTGTTTGTTTTCCTCCATCAGAGACCTGTCCTACAATGAGCTCAAGGAGCTGCCATCCCTCCAGGGCTGCATCCGACTGCAGGAGATGTGAGTGTTGAACATGTAGCTGTCAGTTCACAAAGCTTAGATGACAGATTATGATTCAAGATCAAAAGATTATAATAACAAACAATTTAAGTATTAAAGGTAATCATGCTTGTTTTATAATCTGTTCAAATCTTGTTTTCAATCTACAGAAGCTTTCAACACAACCGTATTCAACAGATAGACAGGGACACTTTCCAGGGGCTCTCTGGACTCCGTTTACTGTAAGTGCACTCGGTCACACGCGCTGGACGCTGTAGAAACAAATATTTGTGCGTGGATTGTGAGCTCACTGCGTTGTTGTTTTACACAGAGACCTGAGTAGAAATGAAATCCGAGTTATCCACAGAGATGCTTTCCTCTCCCTCACTGCGCTCACCAACCTGTGAGTATGACTGATGAGTATTATTGTTATTATTGAGTAGTATTATTTTACCACTTCCGATCAGGATGAGTGCAGAACTCTAGAACTCTCCAGTCACATATCACTCAATGTTACTGTTGTGTACAGAATTAAACTGCTGATGTCTTTTCTTTTATTTTTGCAGAGATCTGAGTCTGAACTCTCTGACTGTGATTCCAACAACTGGACTGAGCGCACTCAGTCAGTTGAAACTCTCGGGGAACCCGCAGATGAAAAATGTCTTGACTGCAAACAACCTGCCCAAACTCAGGTGAGGAAGAACTTCTGTGGTCCACTGTCAAGTTCTGTTATCTGAAGTGTTTTGTGTTTGGTGCTGACTTTGTAATTGAAATTCTATTCACTCACTAAGGTCACAAGATGCCAATGACTCATAGAAAATGTTGAAGGACAATGTGATTTGTAAAGTTGTCAACCACGAAATTGTACACAGTTTAGCTACACGTTTGGAATAAATCTCTGAAATCAAATTTTTCGAAATAAAGATCACATCATTACAGTAAGTAGCCCATTCACTGTGGCTTTATTTATAATAAGTATCTTTTTTAGATCTTTTCCCTTTTACCTCAAATGATTGATATATACTTATGAATATAAATTGTACAACACAAATATTAACTCTGCAGGTCTGTCAAATATATTTGCAGTTATATATGCTAATGAGATGTTAAGATTCTGGACAGTCTGTATGTTCAACAAGAGGATGCTCACAGCCTCTCTGAATGATGGTTGTTTATCTGTAGGTCCATCTCTGTCCCGTATGCCTACCAATGCTGTGCTTTCGTTGGATGTGACTCATCGGCGGGTTCATCTGAGGAAAACGACGTCAAGAAATCTGCAGGTGGGAATGCTGCAGTCAGGCTTTTTCCTTGGAGCACTTTACATGTTAGCTAAACTATTTTTGTTTTATATACATGAAAGCGACTAAAACTATCAAAGAAGGGTGTTTTACATTAGCCTCTAGGTGCATGAGCATATTAACAGCATTCTTTCTTGCCAAACCATCAGATGTGAATGTTGGACATGTGCCAGTTTTGCTTTGTTTTACATTTCTACCTGCTCTGGCATTAGCCTGCATGTTTTTGTTTAACTGTTCACAGATTGTGTAGTACAGTATTTCTATGTGCATCGGTTACAATGTTCTGTTGCATTCAGTAACTTATACTCTACAACATTCAATACTGTCCTACATTTCCTATTTTACTTGTCGTGAAAAATGCAAAGTCGACGGAAACTTCATGAAAATGTTGTGTATTTTGTGTGCATGTCTGTGCACATGGGCTGATTTATGTGATCTTTAGTCTGGCGAAGTTCAAGACCATTGTATCTCACATACACATGCTTCAGATGTAGGTTTTTAATTACTAAAACGATTAAATAATCTTTTCAAAAAATCAATTTAAAAAAGATTCCCTATTCACCATCCTTTAATCAGTACAACTTGATGGTAAACCTGTCTTTACTATACGTGTTTAAATAATATTTTAGTTTAACACTATAGTAAAGTAACAGAAAAATCATTTCATGTTATAGAAGATGTAATTATTAAACTGTTGTTAATTGCTAAGTCACATAAAAGCATTTCAATCAGGAGAGACTTAATTAGAATTTAACTATAATTTATTACACATGCATAACATTTGAATAGTGGAAAGTCTTTGGCGATTGGACTCATCCTGAAGTAGGATGATAGAGGGGTAGTGATGCTGAGGTCAGATAAGGCAGAATCCCCCTGGAGTCCAGACACTGGTGGTGGTGGTGGTGGTGGTGATGAAGATGATGATGATGAGGAGCATGACTGTGATGCTGACTGGGGTGGAGGAGGGTCGCATCTGAATTGAGCTGAAATGACAACTAACAGCAGCAGAGAGGAGAACATTTTTTTTAAAGTTTGACAGCAACGGTGTGATTGGCTTAAGGAAATCTGGTTGGTTAATTTAAAGTGAACGCCCACAATCAGCTGATAGAGTAATCACAGGGAGAGAGAGACTGAGAGATAAAGTAAAGAGAGTCTTCCTGACTGAACTCCTGCTTAGACTTCATTTTGTTAACATACTTCCTGCTGTATACACCCCACTACTTATCTTGGCCCCGCTACTATTTTGAATTAAGATTACCTTTTTAACATTTGCATTTTCTTTTTTTTCTTTTTTAGGACGGGAGGATGTCGAAAGAATTTCAATGCTTATGCATTGCTCTCCTTCCCCAGGTAAGCAACAAACTGCTTTTAATATCTTTTGTTATGCGTCTGTGTATCAATTTTGACAATTTTGAAGAGCTTTGAAATAATCTAAAAGATAAATTGCAAAATGAACTTTTTGAGCAACCACATTGTTTCCTGTCTTCAGGAGCCTTCAAGCCTTGTGAACACTTGCTGGGTAACTGGATGATTCGTCTGACGGTCTGGTTCATCTGTCTGGTGTCGTTGGTCTTCAACAGCCTGGTGCTGGTGGCCACCTTCTCCCCCACACACAGAGCCGCAGGCCATTCCCACTCCCTAGCTCCGTCTCTTTCCCCAGCCCGGCTTCTGATGGGGTTACTGGCCCTGGCCAACCTGCTAACAGGCATGTATGTCGGCGTGCTGACCATGCTCGACGTTGCCACCTGGGGCTCGTTTGCTGAGTTCGGTGTGTGGTGGGAGATGGGACCCGGCTGTCAGGTCACAGGAGCTCTGGCCGTCTTCTCGTCAGAGTGGGCGGTGTTGTTACTCTCACTGGCGGCCGTGGAGCGCAGCGTGGCCGTGCGTACGATACTCGGCAAGGTAATGATGTCACCCAGGAGGAACGTCGGCAGCCATCGCGGGTGCTGGAGAGGAGATCGACGCTTCAGCCTTGCTGCGGGACTACTGGGGCTGCTGGCTGCTGCTGGAGCCTGCCTGCCTCTCCTGACTTTAAGTGACCAATCGGCCTCTCCTCTCTGCCTGCCCTTTGCTGGTGGAGAGAGTCCAGCTCTGAGTGTTACAGTTGTTCTGGTGCTGCTCAATGCGCTGGCTTACTTGTTCACTGCAGCTGTGTACACCCAGCTGTACTGCCACCTGGGCAGGGTGGAGCTGGCCGATCCGGAGCAAACAGGTGCCCTGCGACACGTGGCCTGGCTCATCTTCACCAACTGCATCTTCTTCTGCCCCGTGGCAGCTTTCTCCTTCGCCCCTCTCTTAACTGGCTCTACAGCCGGCGGCCCAGAGATCGCCAAGTCTGTCATCCTCATTTTTTTCCCGCTGCCGGCCTGCCTGAACCCAGTGCTGTATGTGTTCTTCAGCCCGGCCTTCAGGGAGGACTGGCTGAGACTACGCGGCTGCGGAGGATTGACTCGGGAGGTGAAGGCTGGTACTGAAATTCACGGAGATGCTGGTGGCGGAGGGTCAGAGCTCACAGACAGTGGCTCCTCCACCCACCTGGGCTTTGACTGTGGGATGTACTCCCAGCTTTGTGGAGAGACTGTTGTATGCGAGCAGTGCGAGGCTGCACTGCATGCCAGGACCTGCTCCTCTCCCTCGTCCTCCACAGTCTGTAGACACTTGATGAAGTCTCACAGCTGTCCCACCCTCCTGGCGGGAGCAGCAGTCTGCCAGCGTGCTGAGGGGTTTTGGGCAGACAGCAGCACACCCTCTGCTCAGTCTGAGTACGCAGACGAGGGGGACTCGTTTGTGTCGGACAGTTCAGACCAGGTTCAGGCCTGTGGCAGAGCCTGCTTCTGTCAGAGCAGAGGCCTTCCGCTGGTACACTACTCATACAACATACCTCGAGTCAAGGACTGAGGACGCTTCAGAGCTCCATTACGTCTGTGCACAGATCTCTCTGTCATGTGAATTTAGATTCTACAAGAATATATAAACAATTTTATATCGAACAACAAAATGTGCCAACTACCCTGCTAAAAGACTTTTCAGCAAGCACTTATGTTTGTAATTACTGTGTAAACGGATGCAACCAATCATTTAAAGGGAACTTGGTGTGCTTTTGGAACTTGGAGACCATTTCTACTTGAGCTGAACTGAGCACATCATGTTACAAACTGGTCAGCAAAGGAAAATCTTGCCACCAGTGCCTGCATCTTGCTTTCGATTGGATCTCATTATGTCGCCAGCCTCAATGTACGTGTCAAAGATGTTGTGATTTCTCTGTTTTACCTGTGCTTATAAGCTTTTTCAATTTTACTTGTTACACATCTTGTCAATTTTTAGGGTTTCTTCACAGCTACTCTTGATTTTATACTTTGATTTTTTTTTTTTTTTTTTTTAAATAAATGTAGCAAATGTAATAATCATCCTAGACTTTTCTGTGTGAATGTAACTTTCAGGTGGTCTTCACCTACCAGAGGGGAATAATGTAACGTCATCAATAACCTCTGCCCCGCCTGCCTGTGATCGTGATCTATCGGCGTGAGGATGGTATAACTAAACGCCAGTCTATAATAAACATGTCTTTGCTTTAATTTACTCAGACTAAGAATGTGATCAAAGTAGCAGATATCCCTGTTATAGCAACAGCTGTGCTTGGTGGCGGTGAATCAATGTTATTTATTGTTTGAGCTGCAGGAGGGTGGAGACGATGTCAGGTGGCCTTTGAATGATGAATATACAATATTACCCAAGCATTCACCAAAACAACAGCACTTCTCTTTGTTAACTTCTTAACCAAAAACTATTACACACATGAAGTTTTAGGTCATTATTGTCATTGGTTCATTTTTACATCATTTTCTGAGTTTTGGCCGTCATGCTGTTTGATTATCAACCTTTTACTTTATTTTTCTTACCTGCAGAGCTTCATCAAACCCAACAAGCATTTCGTTTTCATAGCAGTAGCGTCTCAATAATTAGATAAGACCTGCTTTCATCAGATGGTCAGATTAATGTTGTAGAGTCATTGCTCTGTTGAGTGTAGTGTGTTTAATGAGCATACATAGTTTACTTTCAATAAAACCTTCCAATTGATGTTAAAAAGTTCACATCAATCAAAGGATTCATTTAACATTTTGGGAGATACATGTACTCCCTGTCTTGCTGACAGTAGGGTGAGAACATCAATTCCACTCGTCACATATCTGTGTGAACTATTAAGCTACAGCTAGCTGCTGGTTAGCTTAGCTAAGTATAAAGACGTGAAGCAGAGAGAAACAGTCATTTTAATCTGTTCAAAAACTGAAGGATTAAACAAAAATAATGAGATACAATGTATTAATTAGTGACCTTTTTAAATGTGCTAGTTTGTTACCTTTGGACAGAGTAAGGCTAGCGGCTCCCGCTTGTTATCAGACTTTATGCTAAGCTGAGCTAACCTGCTGCTAGCTTTAGCTCCATATTTCGCTACAGATAACACAGTGGTATGGCTTTTCTCATGTAACTCAAAGAGAATATTTCCCTAATGTTACAAAAGAAAAATAGAGTAAACTTTGGATTTATTTTTCTTCAATATATGTTGGAAGTTTGGCGACCAACAAAAAGGAAATCTCCCAAAATCTTAATGAACTGTGTGATAGCTGATGTACATTTGTTGTTGGTTTAAAACGTATCATTAAACATAATTTGGCTTGTGAGTGCCAAGTTAAACATATGAACACCGTCCAAGTCAAACACGTGAATATAATCCCGCTCTTCCACTTCTTCCAACATGAAGTGAAAGCGGCACAAGACTGGCAGCCAGCTGAGTCAACAGGAATGTTTTTAAGCAGTGCCAAGAAGTACAAAATGGACTATTATAGCTTAAATGTGCGTGATTTTATTCAACCACAGACATTTAAAGACAAGTATCTGCAGTGTGGATCTTTACAGCTCTACAGTGCAGTCATTTTGACCAGAATAAAGTGGCCTATTGGTATAATAGTGTGAAAATAAGGCATATGTTAAAAATAAGAGGAATTATTGTTAAACTAATTTACTGCCTTCTGTGTCTTTCCAATCATTTACATTATAGACACTTACTGTATGTACATGTCACTCTGGATGATTGTACAGCCTTATTATTATATAGTATATTAACGTGGACATCTTTTCACCCTGAGAGTGGACCCGAGTGAAACTGCGTGTGACGACGGATTGACTGACGTTTGGTGTGCTGGAGCATGACCGTACACATCCAAGGTGGATACACCCTCAGAGCGTGTATCCACAAGTGCACGTCGTGTGAGTGCTCAGGAATTTAGGCAATGTAGGGAAACGTTTTCTTCCACCAACAAGACATTCTTGTGTACTTATAATGCACAATTTACTTTTGATCTTTTTAATTTTATTTTTTCGGTTTCCTATGTAGCCATTTTTCTCGACCGGGTGTGAACATTTTTGCACCAAACAAAATGTCCGTTGATTGTTTGAGATTTCCCATCTGGTGAAAATGTACAATTTCTTTTGTAAGTAGGCTGGTTATTGTTTTTTTGTATTTGTAAATTATTTGAAACGAAAACAAGTAACCAAGAATGGGATGCTAACTAAGAAAGCTACCTCCTCGACTGTAGTGGCTGCCAGCAGTGCTTTGTGAAAGAAATGTCTGTTTTCTGTTTTTTCTCTTTGTTTGCATTCTTAGCTTTGTGTTGACACGTGGTTGTACATCATCCTTTTAGATAAGTGCAAATTGTGGGAGGAATCTATGTACTGTATACTGTGATTTATTTTTAACCAAACTATAAACTATGACATTTTTTATTTTATCTTTTATAGATACAAACTTGCAGAATAATACTGATTATCGAAAATAATCTCCCTTAATTTCAGTTCAAAATAAAATCTCATTGTAGTTTTTCATGTGAGATCTCCCGGAGTTATTTTATTCTGTTCAACTAGAATAATTCTATAAAATTGTGAATGAATAAAATTTACCTTTTGTGTTAAAATTTCAGTTACGGCAACCATTATCGTCAAGTATTTTATCATATCTGAAATGATTGTACTGTGTACCAGTGCAGATTGATTTGGGGATTGGAGATAATATAGAAAATTCTCTTCATTGCAATATGTCATAGAAAGGTCAGGTCCCCTGAAAATGAAAATATTGACTTAAATCGTACATATTCTTCTCCCGGCAGAGTTCCACATTGAACTCTGAACATCAGTCTGACAGGCTGCACGACGGCCTCATGGGAAGGCAGGTCGTTCTTTAACCGCACTGCTGGAAGTGTCTTAAACCAGCTGTCCAATCAAAGATAACAAAGTGTCTCATCTCTGCTCAGAAAGATGTCCAGAGACAGTCCAGCACTTTGGTCAAGACTGATTATTGGATGGATCCCCATGACATTTTGGACAGACATTCACAGTCTCCAGAGAATAGATTAGTCTTTTAATTTCTTGCTACTACACTTTTTACTCCACTACTGTTAGTGTGAATACATTAGTTGCTGGTTATTTTACAGATTCAAATCTGATATAAAAATAAAAAAAATAAACAAATCAGTCATGATGTATTTATCTGCAGCTCATTTACTAGCTGCAATATGTAAGTGTTTACATGAATGCATAAAGAGTACTTTAAGGTTTGGTACTTTTAGGATATGATGATGCTAACACTTTTACTCAAGACATATTTTGACTGTATGACTTTAAGTTGCTGTATTACTTGTAGAGTTTTTCTGCACCACTGCTCACTTTAGCATTTAGCTAAAAGCACCGCTGTGCCTCAGAGGGCTGCTGGCGGTAGACTTAGACTTGCTGAACTGTTTTCAGCTGAAATTGCCCATGCAAGACATTTTAGGTGCGAAATGTTTTTTCTAAACGTGACCGTTCCAAGCCTGTTTGACACGCATAAGACTATTTGTGCCATTCAGTGGAGTTTCCTTTCACGGTAACCTGGTGGTAAGTGAAAAATAACCTCAGGGATTGTATCAAGAAACAGACGTGCAATTTGAGAAGTCTTGTTTAGCTTTGGACCGTGTAGGTTTTTCACTTGTAATTTGTGGATTTTGGTGAAACCCCATGTCAAAACACCTGGCAAAAAGTGGAGGCCCTGTAAGGCGTTCGTCGTGTATGTTAATAGTGGCCTGGTGACATGTACGTTGAGAAGTCACAGGAAATATTTACATTGAGGGCATCAAAGGAATATCTGTCGAGTGATGTCACAGCAGCTCCCGCTCGTCCAACACCAACATGTGTTCGTCTTCATTTACACGTCCTCAGTCGTAAAAAGGACTTCATAGCTATTCCAGACCTTCACACACACACACACACCCCTCTGTGGCACATTGCTGACTACCATGGCTGCCACAGTTACCATGATGGCAATTTTGGGACCTGGTTTCCACTAGTACACCATTACTTAATACACTAATGCCCCAACTTCATAATATGACTAAATGAAATCACTCACTTATGACATTTTTATGATATAGTATACTATGAAATTACATGATATGACTTTATAGGGCATACTATACTGACTTTTATGGCATATTGAACTGTGACTTTTTTTAGGACATACTATAGGCCTACTATGGTTTTTTATGGTATACATACTATGATTTTTTACAACACACTGTAAGCCAGTATTTTTATGGCGTATTATACTGTTCCTTTTGTACGAAATTCCATATTAAAATGCTATTTAGTATGCTAAATCTGTATAAAAGATTTTTCAATAAGTCCAAAACCGTAGTATGAAACCAATAGTGAGCGAATTGCATACTATTTCTGGTGAAATATTACAGTACACAAACACTGGAAACTACAATGGCATAAATATCCCACAATGCCATGCGGTAGTGACGACAAACTGTCGTCTTCACTTTTTTTTCAACATTTTGGTACATAGGCCTTTATCAGATTGCTTTACCAAATAATAGGAGAGCATGTCTGAAATAGGTTAGTAGTCCCACGTAGACCAATCAGGTAACCCTGCAAAATGATATCAATCAGGAATCATAAACCTAGAATATAAGCATGAAAACATATACATTATTTCCTGTGTCACGGCTTTTTAATTACTTTTTTTTCGGCATGCTATACTTTTTTCATGACAACATACTATGCTATGATGTTTTTATCACTTTTTTGACATTCTATAGTGTGACTTTATATTTACTTTTTTTTCAACGTACTATACGATGACTCTTTTCCACATAGTATATTAAGCCTTTTGATGACTTTTTAATGACTTTTTTTGGTCATTCTATGCTATGAATTTTTTACTTATGTGTTTTTGCGACATGCATTACTGTAACTGAAATGCTAAGATATTACTTTTTTGTTACTTTTCGACATACGATACTATGACTTTTTAGATATTGTATACTGTGACTTTTCCATGACTTTTTTCAACATAACCTTTTCTGTGTTTTCGCGTCATGCTATACTATAATTGTTATGACTTATGTCGACATACTGTAATATGACATTGTGTGACTTTTTGTACATACGATACTATGATTTTATGGCATACTATACTTTAACTTATTTCGACACAGTATACTCAGACTCTTATAGGACTTCTTTCGTCATACTATACTTTGACTTTTTTCTGTGACTATTATTACTATGTGCTATAAAATGTTTGTTTATACGGCCTACTTTATTATGAATTTTCTATGACTTCTTTTGCACACTATATTACGACTTTTTATGGCGTACAATACTATAACTTGTCATGACATACTATACTTTGACTTTTTTATGGCATACAATAAGTTGACTGTTTTATTGCATTTTATTGCTATGACTTTTTGTTTTACTACATCGTGGCTGCTACAGCTATCATGATGGCAATTTCCAGAACTGGTCTCCACTTGTACACCATTACATACTACACCGTAGAATAATTCCACTACTTGAAAGTATGACGGAATGAAATCTCTCACTTGTGTTTTTATTGCATTTATATTGACCTTTCCAAGCACACAAACAAATCCAAACACTGCAATACATTTCTTTAGAGCAGCTGAAATAAATGACACGCAAGATGGGAAATTATAAATTAATTTCATAAATATTTCCACCTTCTTTGACTATTATGTCCATTTACTTAAGTAATCCAGAATTACACATGATACTAACACAACAGCAAGTATGGTGATATGCAAGATGATTTCAGTTTGTAGTGCAGGTGAAGAGTTTCTTGTGACACAAAAGTCAACATGCGGGAGACAAATATAGAATCTCTTCAGTCAGCAGCCCGAACCTCTTTATTTCGTTTCTTCTTTCGCAATTTGAGCTGTAGGCCAGGAACACAACAGAAGTCAAGAAACATATGCCTTCATGAGTTAATGGCACAAAGTGAAATTGGTAGCAACATTTTTAAAAACAAATACAAGCTACAAATCATTATTTTGGGATTTTGAAAATGATTTTGTGTAAAAAAGAATCTAAATATTAAGACGTATTTAATCACATGATATCACATGACTTTATTACGCCAAAATATGCTATTACTTTTTTAATGGAAAACATTTTCATGAAATTGTCATAGCATACTATACTACGGCATTTTTATGGTATAGTACACTATCGCTTTTCCATGAAGTACATATACTATGACTTTTTTTGGCCTTTCATGGCATACTATACTGTAACTGTTTTGGGGCATACAATACTATAATTTTGTAAGGAATAGTATACTGTGACATTTTTATGACATACTATGCTGAGATTTTTTATAGCACACTTTACAATGATATTGTTATGGCATACACTACTCTGACTTTGGCATACATCCTACTCCTTTGTGATATTTTTAAAGTATACAATACTATGGATTTTTTTAAAGCCATTAGCCAGTATGACTTTTTTATGGCATACTATACCATAGAAATTAATTTAAATTCATATACTACCCCCTGCACCTTAATGGCTCATTTGTTTTTCAGAAAGATTTCTTCTAGAATCAAAAACTTTTAGCTCATTCAAAATACATACCACTTATCTGCGTTCTCTGTGAAGAATAATATTTTGAGAAAGAAGTTGTAATATTATCGGAAATATGTCGTAATTGAATGCAGTAATACATCATAAAAATCTACCCACTCTATAGTCTGCTGTGCATTACTTTATGGCTCTGTATCCCCTTCAGACCATTTGACAGACACAGCACCCCGTTAAGGAATCTCTGTATAAGAAAGGTTTAGGGAAGTGGCTGCGTGCTGCTTCTTATCAGAAGTGGAAAACCGAAAACAAACTGAAAACACTTTTGATCAGGCATAAATCTCACCATTGTGTATCTTGTTGTCCACACAAATATTAACTTAACCACCTCTAATAAGTAGCAGCTCACAGCTGCTTTTCCAAGGTTTTCAGTGGGACGCACACAAAGCGATACAGAGACACTGGTCAAAGGAAGATGCCACACTGCAGTCCAAACTATTTAAAGAGTCAAAATAACTGTAGAAAATGCTTAAATATCCATATATGACTTGAAACAAGCTATTCTATTTTCTTAAAATATGACGTATTATTGTCACTTATTTCTCAAAAATTCAGATTATTTTAGTTGCCCTCATACTGCGTCGTAATTGATGGACTAGAATATAGACATTCAAATGTATCTTTCGCTCGCAAATTTTTGGCTGTATAAGGGAATATTTTAAGTTTTTTTTTTCAATTTATTTGGGTTTGCTGTAAATTCTGCAATTATTTGGGGGACATTTCTATTTTTCCGATAATCATAAATATATAGTTCTTTCTAGGACTCCAGAAAATCATATATTTAATCAGTTTTAGAGAATCTACTACAGGAACAATTATAACCTGTTGATCATTTTTATTAGTTATAAACATGTTTTGTTTGTTTTTTAACAAAAAGATAGGGGAAAGGACGAGAGATGGGATGGAATGTCAAGTCAGTCAAGAAAAAGAGGACACATGCGTTGCTGTCTTTGTATAGGATACTTACGGCGGACCTCCACTTTACACTCCACTATGTCTTCTCCGTTGACGTTGACTGCTTTGCACATATACACTCCTCCATCAAAAGAGCAGGGCTTACGGATCTCCAGTGTCAGAACACCTTGTTTACTGAGCATCCGGAACTTGGCCTCATTTGAGATGTCCATCTTGTTTTTGTACCAGGTCACTTTGGGCTAATAAGGTAGGACAAAGTATTAAAGTAATACTTTTCACAATCTGCAATACTGCTCAAGTGTTAGTGTCAGAGGATTATGGGTAAATTTCTGTTGGTTTGGGAGTAATTTTCCCTTGCTTTTATTCCTGTTGTATTTTACTCAGTTATTCCGTATTTGTGAATGATAAAAACATTTAAGCATGAAAGTTCATTCTTGACTCTGAACTGTATTGTTAAAAACTCCAGAAAAAGCAGGTGAGTGGAACTTAAGTTTGGAATGTTTTGCTATTTTCTAAGTCAGGAGTGAACTTTCATGCTTAAATATTTTCATTTAGCTTTTCCTAAAAGTGCTTTAAACGAACTGCTAACGTCTACAGTGTTCGGGTTGAAAGCTTTGGAAAAAGCTAGAAAGTGGACCTCAAGTAGGAATTGTTTTGTCAGAATTTAATTTAAATTGTCTTACTTTTTTGTTATAATAAAAGACAACAGGGTGTCTTTTTCTGGGTGTGATTAAATCTGATTGAATTCGGTCACCAGCATCTTTTGCATAACATGTGATGACCCTACTGACCTTTGGCATGCCTCTGACTGAGCAGCTGAGGGTCGTGTTGTAACCTGCTATGATAGAACGGTTCACCAGCGGATGTGTGAACTTGGGAGCCTGTGAGAAGTCATGATCCTTGAAGGTGGGCGGCTTGTACTCGATACCTGGGAAGAGAGACAGACAGCCAATTGGGTAATTGGGTATTGTTCTCTTCGTGACATTCAAACGGAACCATAACTGGTTTGTAGCAGTTATTTATCTGCAGCAACAGCCCACCTGTTTTCTGGATGTAAGCGCTGTCTGTTGTGGTGCAGGGCTCTAGGCTGAGGCCCACCAGGTTGATTGCAAAGACTCGGAAGACATACTCATTCCCCATGATGAGGTCAGATGCGACGCAGTTGGTTCGCCTGTACTGCTCATAGACTGTAAACCACTCCTTCACATGAATCACAAAAACATGGTTTAGAATCACTATTTTCCAATTCAGTATAGTATTTCTGTTGATTTGTATGATCATATCGTTTTGCCTTCACAGTCACCAGATCTCAACCCAAGTAAACACTAATGGGTGATTTTGGATTGATGCGTTTGCAGCCCTTTACAACACAAATTGAAGTAGTCTAAACTGAATCCACTGTTTGTTTACTGTGACCAATAATATTAGCTAAAAATAGATTTGAAAATACCTTTATTATCTACCTGAAACTAAAGGAGCTGTGTAATTGTGCAGAGTTTATATGTATGTATTTAGGTACAAGAATGAAATAGGATATGGGCAGATTTAATTTGATTTGAATTTAATCTAACAGGTACACAGTTCATTGTTATTAATAGCATGATAATCAGCGTCTCCAAGCATACTATAAAGAGATACAACTGTCGTTAATTTGATCTAATAATGACTGCAGTGAAACATGAACCATCAGCCGAGCCAGGCAGGAGAACAAGGGCCCTGCGTCACGGTACGGACAATCCGGACCAGGTCAAGGCTAAGAGGATAAGATTAGGACATTCCTGGCCGACATCGTTCCTGGCAGCTCGAGGTGGAGGACGGTGCCAGATGGAGGTCTTGCCAGCCCATAATGCAACACTCCTGGCTCACAGATGCTCAGTATTTGCTGATTACAGTTCATGTGTCACAAGGGAGGCTAAAATATCCCCCTGTGTCCATGAAGCATTCCTCCTCACACGTACATGCACACTCATTCATGTCAATAGAAAGAGCAAATGTGGCTTCACTGCACTAAAACTGGTACATTGCATGTTGGACTTCTTGAGGGTTTCTTCTGGCTAATAGTTGTAAAATAATTTGACTGGCTACAATCAACATCAGAAGCTTGTATTCAGTTTCATTCAAATGTAATATAAATGTAGGCTCTGCTGCCAGCACCTCAGCGTGTAGAGTCTCACCATGGTCTTCTTCTCTGCTTTCTGAATGTTGTAACCAGTTATTTCACTGTTACCGTTGTCCTTCGGCGGCTTCCACTCAAGTGCCACATTAAAGCCCCAGACATCCATGATCTTCAGTGCGTCAGGGGGCCCTGGGAGATCTACAGAGGAGAAATATGAATTGTGAGTAACTGCCCACAACAGACATTGTATTCATTCCTAATAATAATAATAATACTCTAGTTAATATACCCTCCACCAGCTCTGTGTTCAGTCCTGCTTACCAACAACCTGCAGTTCGATACTTGCTGTGTCGTCCATATTCTCAATCTGCACCTGGACATCATACTTCCCTGAGTGTTTTCTCTCCGTCTTGCGAATGAAGAAAATTGTATCCGTATCGCTGTTCCTCACACTAGCTAATTTGGGGCTCAGAGGCTCCCCGTCTTTGCTCCATGTGACCTTCGGCCTGGGCTTACCCTGCACGACCAGAAAAGACAATGGAAGGGTTTCACTTCAACATGCTATGTGTCAGGTCACAAATTACAGAAGATTTCAGATGGTGATTTCTAAAGGAAACCATTGTCGTAGAAACATTTCCATATTGTGCCACCAACAGGTCAGGATTTTCCCTGGTCAAATACTTAATTATTGAGAGATTCATGTTAATATGAAAGCAAGCGGGACTATGTTAGCATGTTAGCATGCAAGGTAAAAACATGACCTTTTCTCTGTCACCTTCAGAACAAACTATACATTTTTTACCTCACTTCTGGTAAGCATCTAACAACACTGAAGGTGCCTTTTTGATTTTTTCATGTAGATACAGATATGACAATACATTAATGAGAGTGTAGACACTTGTCAGCCAGCTGGTCAAGAAAAATAAAATTGGATTCAAAGATTTTATCCAAATCAACAACCGCTACAGGTACACCCATTTCTGTTTTATGATGTGTAATCAGTCTCATGCTGCATCTCTCTTCAACAGCGTTATACACCATAACATTACAAAGACAATCCCACTGTCCTCTTTTGAAGATTTTGAAGACAACCATCAAAAATCCAACATGACATCTTCTTGGTAGCACATATACATACAAAGCCAGATGAAATACACACATCAAACATTATGTGTATCAACATCATTTCAGTTAATATATTAATGAAAAACGTTTGCTATGATCCCGATTGTTTCATCATGATGAATTATGTTTTTTTTTTAGTTAATGGTTAATTTGGTGTATGAATGAAGATTTAAGAAGGTACACTGTATACTGCACCTGGAATTTAATCACAAGGTTGACAGTTTCTCCAACTATCTTGACGAGAGTCTGGCGGAGATTTCTAGGGAGCCAAACTTTAGGGCGTTCTGTGAAAGAAAGAAACACAAGAAGAATGACGGGAAATGAAAAATGGAGGAAACTCAAGACTCAAGGGTGAATTTAAACTGAAGGACAGTCAGTTATATGAGATGTATTGGTTGAAACTAAAGGAGCAGAGAGTCGACAAAAGTCATCAAATCTATAAATACTCACGCATTATCTCTCTGATGGTGACAGCTTGAGCCAGAGTGGTGGGAGCACTGGGTCCCGCCATGTTGTAGGCCCGCACACGGAACTGCAGCTTGTCTCCGGTGGTGAGATGTTTGATGACCATTGATGTCCGGTCAGTCAGACCCTGCATGGCTGGTATCCATTCATCCGCTGCGACCAGGAAACACACAACAAGGGGGGATAAAACAGTTCATGACAGCAAGTAACGTAATTCCAGTCATTACAAAGATTAATTTCATCATATATTCATCAAGCTGACAGCCAAGAGGCATCCCTTAAGCAAAGAATTACAAGAAAAGGGGTTCATGCATACATCTAAACTGACTTGTTTATATGTTACTTTTTGCAGCAAATAACTCAAATCGGCCAATTGTATGATAGGTAAATGGATATGTGGCCATACACAACGATGAACTGCTGTCACAGATTCTTTTATTTATTTTAAATATTTCTTTCTGGGTGCATTTCCTTAGTTGGATAGCTGATAGTATAGAGGCAGGCATGACACAACGTGTGAGAGAGAGGAATGACATATGCAACAGGGTTTGTTGCAATTGTATGATATAAACCATAACCATTTGGCTAGTGGGGTGCCTTCTGTCAGAGATTTTGTCATTCTTCTCCTAACTGACGACAGTTTGTGGTCATCTAAAAGTCCTGTGTGGGCTGTTTGGACATTTGGAAATCACAGTTGCTGCCCTTCACTGTGATTAACTGATTGATGTATATAAACTCTGTTGATATATGCTATTAACAAAACGCTCCTTATCAAAAGCGTGCAGGTGGTTGTGTCCAGCACTTACTTCCCTCCTTGCAGTACTCAACTCCATAACCCTCGAGTTCAGCTGAGCCAATCCTCTCAGGCGGCCGCCACTTCAGCGAGATGGAAGTGTCACTGACGTCGTCAAGGCTGAGTCCGATGGGCTCACTTGTGGGGGCTGAGAGTGAGGTAGAGGGCAGATAAATGGCTCTGTTAGTCAGTTAGAGCATTAAAGAAATAAATACAGAATTAATTACTAAACAAGTGGATGAACCTGATCAAGAATTAGCAAATTAAAAAAACTGCATCAAGTTGTTTTAACCCTTACATACTGTTAGGGTCAAATTTGACCCGTTTTGACATTTGACAGCAGTAAAAATACCCTAAACGTCATTCTTTTAGCCTGAAATTTGATGACTTTTCCTAAAGTGACCCAAAATACACAAAAATAAAAGTATTTTAAAATGTTATACTTTTGAACAGGTGCTACAAGTTTTTGTACACTGAGGCTGTTTCGGGTCAAATTTGACCCGTATCTATTGAGATGGATTTTAGATCTACCAGTGTGGGTCAAATCAAGGAAAATGGTATTTTTAGGGAATCTTGAAACTGTACAGGCCACGTCTGTGTGTATTTTTTATGGGACAGTGGGTTCATAACATTATAAAAGGTACCTGAGCTGCCATTTCAGTGACTGACATCATGGCAGCAAGATTTAGTGTTCAACAGGCCCTCGATATGTTCCTCCAAGATGAGGAGGTTGAAAGTGATTTGATAGTGATTACATGCTTATATTATGAATTCATACAGTTCCAGAATGTTCATGCCATTTTCAAATTCAATAAAATAGATTTAAATCATTATGGCTTTTATATTTGTATGTCTTATGTAAAACAGGACATGATAATGTGTAATAGTAGATGTTTTTGTCCAAAAACGAATGTTGTAAAACTTAAAAAATACACTCTCCCTGCTCTCAGAAACATATATTAAGGATTAATCATACATTTATTAATGAGACATAGGCTATTTAGACATTCTACATAGATCTGTAGTTTAAAATTTGGTATAGACACATGAGGGAATTCTTGGTCTGGGTCAAAATTGACCCGGACCATACTGTGAAGGCATTCCATATGAACAGTATGGGGTTAAGGTAGAATGAGGAATGAACGTACATTTTTGGTGGCTCCCCACATTCAATTGAACTTTTACTTACCTATGGGCAACAGAATGCTACCAAGGCAGAAAGTTAGTTGATTTGTTTGATCTTTGAGCCAATTAAAGGGGAATTAGTTTGTGTATGTGGTTAGATGGGGCTGGTGTTGACTATTTCTGTCTATATAATCTTAAATTTGCAATAATTACAAGTATGGTTGTGAGATATTGTAGCTGTTTGTCATATATGGTTAAGAAAATCATTGGCATAGCTACTGTATATGTTATCCATTAGAAATGTGAACCTGTGGTGCCTGGTTGTGTGCAAAACTAGTTCCACTTAACATTTAATTTGCTACCATCGCGACCTGGCCACAGATAAACGAAAGAAAATAGATGGATGTATTTAATTTACTTAGAGTGAAGTCCATGAGTACATATGTAATCTAACAACAGACCATGATCCTGGCCATGATCCAAATTCATATAACAGCAAAAACAATATCAATTTCAGTATCAGATATTTGTGGTTGTGTTATCAGTTATCAAAACAGTCTATTAGCCTGTAAGCTTGTGTACGCCATCGCAGGAAAGATGAGCTGTCTGACTGACCTGGAGTTCACAGCAGGTCTGAAGTCTCAGTGCCTGCTGTGCTTTCTGTCCCGCAGGGATGAAATGACATGATTGAAATTTGCATTAAAAGACTTTGGTTTATCAGCTACGTCCCACGCATTGCTTTCACCACAGAAGTGCCAAAAGCAAACAGCCAGAGACATAACAAGTTTTAGCTGCAGAGACTAAAAGGCTCTGTTTTCAAGAAATAAAGAAAATGACAAAGCAATATTCATTTTTACAGTGTATAGCATTGAGATTTAGGGTCTAATCGCTCATTTACAAGCATATTTTTGTCTGCTCATAGAGATGAATAATGATCATAGAATACTAAATGCCCATTTATTTTTTGTGTGAGACTGAAGAGAAATTAATCTAGTTGTTTTAAATTTCACAGAATAAAGCCTGATGAAACACTGAAAATATTACTACTGATTCATCATGTCAAACACAGTCAATTAAATGGCTACTTTAGCATCTGGAGCAGTGACCTCCACCAACGATTCACACACTTTTGCCTAAAGATTCACCGCCAAGACATCCCAAATATGCAATATCAGCTACTAATATTGGAAGTATGATGATTTGGGGTAAGTAACAAACACTACGAGTAAAGAATACTCCAAATAACAACAGACTGGAACATCTTTTTATCTTTCCGAGGTCATTTTTAGTCAACGATCTATTTCCATGTTGTTGCAACAACTTGTTGACAACTTGTAATCTGACTGAAAGATAATGAATTTCAGTTGCGGTCTTGTCGTCACTAAGGCCAGGACTCCATGTCAAATGGCAGAGGCTAAGTATTCAGTACAAGCGAATGATGGGAGCACATGTCAGAGGTCAAGGGCTTCCTTGTGTGTAGAAAGTCACAGCAGCGGGGATTGTTTCAAAAGTAGCTCAGGGTCGTCTGGACAAAAGGTGCAGCGTGCAGAGTAAGAATCTCATTCCGATGTGTTTTAAAAGCAAATCATCACCAGCATGATATCTAAAACGGTGTTGAACACTATCAAACATGTACTCCAATGAAAGAAATGAGCTGCTGGAATATGCCGCCAAATTTTCCATTACTGTCACACACATACAAACAAAATTAAGTTTCATTTCTAATTCTAAAAACCTGCATCAAATGCACCATCTTGAAGTGAATAATGCCTACTACCAACAGGTTTCGGCTCTGGTTCAGCAGCAGGAACGGGCTCCACAGGGATGACCTCTGCTGGGGTTACACACTCTGCTGGTGGTGTCTCATTGTCAGCTGGAGCTCCATCTTCCCTACTAGGGTCTGCCTCTGCAGGGGAGGCTGCTGGTGGTGGTTCGCTGCTGGCTTCTGGTTCCTGTTCTACCACAGCAGGTGGAGGATTCTCTGTCTCAGGCTTTATGTCTTCCACCTCTGCTGGTGCCGCCACTGGAGCATCTATTTCTTCTTCTACAGGTTTCTCTTCTGCCACTGGCTTCTTCTCAGCTGTCTTTGGAAGTTTAGGTTTTGTCATCCTTTCTCAGTGTTTGGCAGTCCTGCAGCTGATTCAAGCTGATGATTGTGCGTGTCCGCCTCGTCTGCCAGATGCCTTGCTCCAACCTATGTTCTCATTCTCTCTCTCTCTCACGCGCATACTGGCTCTCGTTCTCTTCGCTGTAGTGACAACAATGCAGCAGCCTCTACAGTAGCGTGAAGCCCTCTGTGTTAAGCAGCTGGTCCAAGCAGAGACGCTCGCTGCCAGGCCATTATTTATAGAGAGGAATGCCATGGATAGTTTCCTAATCGGCTGTCTTACAGACAAGTGGCCATCTGGATACAATGATGTTCCCTCTTAAATCAACAAATCAAGACAATCCAAACCTGAGCCTCTGCCTTACAAGATACTGTCAGGATAGTAAGGTAGTACATTGCAATTGATATGCAAGGAAGTGAAACAATATGGCAGTCTGACTCTTACATCCTACTTTGTTCCCCTCATGTTTGTATGTTCAGTCGCAACATGAAGAATGTCCACGTTGTTGTATGTTACTGTTGCCTGCTGCATAGCATACTGTCTTTGAATTTACATGAGGAATATACATAAGAGAATCCTAAACAAGAAAGTAATCAACTCAGAGATGTACAGTAGAGCCTGAGTATGTGATCAATAGCCTACAAAAACATAAACTCTTCATTGAAAAGGACCTAAAGCCCTTGAAAACTTGGCTTCAAATCTTAAGTAACTCTCTCAAACAATAAATATTCATGGCTAAACAAGCAACAATTAAAATGTATCAAATATCTTGAGGAATTATCTATTAGGAGTTTAACATTTAAAAACTCAGTTCATCTGCTTCATCAAGACTCTGCGGGTGTGCTTTGATTTCATTGAGAATTTGATCACATTTCAGAAAACTAATTAGCAAATGGTCATGTGATTTGGGTAATGCTATAACTATTCAGTGCGGTTCAGCCTTTACATGGATGTAATACTGTGAATGCTATGGCAGAGAGGAAAGGTTCATTCACCCATGCATGCAAGAAATGTAACTTATCAGACCTCTGGAGCCCGCTCTTCATCTGCTACATGAGCTGCTACTACCAGAACACAACTGAATCTCCGACCAAACTGTAGACAATCAAGTTTTTTTAAATGTAGGTGGCAGGTTTTGACCACAAAGAAGAATGCATGAAATAAAAAAAGACAATATCTCTAGTTATGATCGATCCTTTTTAAAAACTGTTGATTTGAGAGTCCAACAATGTTAAGCTGTATGAGTGCAATGGTGCGTACATTGCTGCTCTTTTAATCATCAGAAACAATAGAGGTTCAGTATCTAGCTCAAGAACACTTCGACATGCGGACAGGAGGAGCCAAGGATCAAATCATCAACCCTGCCCATCTGAGCCACAGCAACCCTTATTAAACAAGCGACATTGTAAGACCTGGGTGTAATATTTCCTCATCATCTTGTCCATGTGGTGATGGGTGGTAACGGACATACACACCGCCATGAGTGACATTAGTCAGAAAGGACCTGTGAGTCACATGTGATCCTATGTGCAACATATATTTTTGTTACACAGACAATCCACAGGCTTCTCGGATTACAACAAACATGACCCCGTCCTGTCTTGACCACAAATCAACCAGGCCCCGTGACCAGAGTGAAACCTTAGTCTGAGCAAACCAGGCATGAAACAACCCCGGACTCATCAAAAGACTGACATGTCATCTTCATCGCCCTCTGCCGTCACTCATTCAGATCAGTCATCGTCCTCGTGTTACTGTAGTGTGGCGAGTGTAACAAAATGTACCTTTTTTTTTTGTTTTCATTTGATCTATAAATGCATGATCTCTGTCATAGAAGAGTTTTAACAATAACAAATGTCTGAAAATGATTCATTGAATGCACAAAGTGGGACAGGAGCTGGTATAAACCTGTTGGTGAAGACTCACCGACTGGCACAAAAGGCTGTGAAGCTGGACTGTGACGAGACATGCCGATGCCGTTGACAGCATAGATTCGCATCTCGTACTCCATTCCTTCAATCATCCGCTTGGCTTCATAGGTTGTTTCACAATAAGGGTCAAAGTTCAGTCTCATCCACCTGTAGCTCTTCTTCTTCTTTCTCTCCATCACGTAGCCTTAGACATAAATGTTGTAATCGACTAGGCTAGTCAGAACAATGAAGGAGGAGAAGACTTCCACATAATTTGAACAAATGAAGCATTTTGATATGTTTTACCAATAACTGGCTGTCCACCATCAAACAGAGGGGGATCCCACTGGACCACACAGGAGTCCTCTCCCACACTGAGGATTCTGGGAGCCTGGGGAGGATCTGGAACATCTGGGGGAAACATGACTCGTGTTCAGAAATAAAAAAAAACGTATATTTACACATACAGGTGATGCACTGATTTTCCAAACAGATTTAGAGTGTATTTGTCTACACTGTGATGACAATAAAAACCCAAATTTTTTTTTTTTACAAATGAATGTCGCTCTTACCGACAACTTTCACATTGATATCTGCAGTGTCCTCCCCAGCGGGGTTTCGAACCACAACAGAATAGATCCCCTCGTCCTGCCTCTCAGCCCCCTCGATGGTGAAGATACAGTGTCCCTTGGTGGTTTCAACATGGACCCGACTGTCTCCCTCTGTGACAACCTTCAGCGCACAATGAGAACCAGAGGTAGGTAAGGATGCTGCATGGTACAATCCATGTATTACATAAACATCATGTCAGAATTTGGAGAGGTAATAAACACAACACTTTCCATCTCAAAGTTCATTCAAGTATTTGGGCAAATCATGCTTTTAAAAGCCAACAATATGATATGAACACACAACTCCAGATGTCACCATGCAAATGCAGGACCAGCTTCTGAAATGAAAGTCTAATGAGTTGTTTAAAAGGGCAGTTGTGTCCATGTACTGATTTCTTGTAGTTTGAACTAAATATTGTTCACTCAAAGCTCTTTTCTTGGCTACAGAAGTGTCTTTTATTTGATTTTACCATCCCAAAATGTAAAGTAATTTTGCACAACTTCAGAATATTTATCATTTTTAATCCAAGGATTATTTCACAGAGTCCTTTTATAAAGTTGCCATACAAAAACATACTTACTGCCCAGTTTCCTCTGACCTGTGTCTGTCTTTAGGGAGATTCAGGACATGCTCTTACCTTATTGATGTGGACGGATTCTGACCACATGCAGTATTTTTTTACCATGCTCTTAATGCTATGTAAAGGGGAGACATAAAAGTGAAACACATATGTACACCGATAGCCACTAGAGAAGTTGTTTTTCATGTATTTGTCTGTATCTGACTGTGATTGTTACTGCTGCAGCTTGTTCTTTCTTCAGGGTTGTAAAGCAGTAAATCAATATAACACACAACCTGATGAGTCAAGTAGCTGCAGGATCAATTCTTTGTTGTCTTCAACAGGTAATGGTAACACATTTGCAAGTTTACATAGAGTGAAATGCACATAGACTGCAACTTCTCTACTGGCTGTATTTGTACATCCAATACACTACAGGTGAGCCTATTGTTTTCTTTAGAGACAAAGAGGTTGTAAGCTTATTGTCCAAAGACACACATGGGTTAGAGATACTGCCGACTAACTTGGATTTCAATCTACCACAAACAGTTAACTTCCCCATCCGTCAAGGTCCAAGAGGATGCCGGCCCTTCTTTCTCTTCTCCATCAGGTTTTACAGAACTAGCCTACATTTGAGCAGAGCAAAGCGGTAAAAGTCGAAGAGAACAGAGAGGGCGTGAACACCTCTCTTTCTCCTCAACTCAAAGAAACCGCCAGCAGGGTGGCATCGTTGTATTAAGCTGTTATTAGCTTTGCACTACTTCAGCTTGGTTAAAACATCTCAGTACTCCAGACACATTTATTAGCAGGGAGGAATGCATTAGTTATCACAGTATCAGTGAGTCTTGACGAGTGATATGAGAGTGATATCAGAATTCAGGCCAATGCTGACTCAAATAGCTGGATTGGGTATCTACGACAATGGTGCCGATTCAATTCAATTCTATGTTATGTACTATACTACATCATGTACTGGTATTTTACTTCCTATTTGAGTTTTTTTTAACAATTTTCTTCTGCAATTAAAAGGTTTACAGTCAAATTGCAATTCCTGTTAATTATGAAGATTCTTTACCCACTTGCTGGTGTACAATTTATAATTTTAATAATAAATAATAAATCAGTGAATACCTTATTTGTTAGATTTTTTTCTTTTACAAAGTTATGAAAGTAATGTTCAAGTCAAGCCTGATGTTGCCTTTTACATAAAAGAATGATCCCAACCTCTTCCACATCAGCCGATACCTAAAGCCTGGATATCGGGACGGAAAAAGTAAGATTGGTGCATCGCTAATCTAGAGCTAACCTGCGCGCCTCCAAATAGTAGTAAAAAGAGAGTAATCTCCTCAACTTGTATTGTATTGAAACTGCAGTACATGTTGATTAAATATGCCGAAATTGTTTTAGAATTTTACATTGCAGTGTTACAGCTTCAAAGTTTAATTTTGAATGTGAATTAGGCTTTGCTTTCACAGCAAGCCTCAGATTTCAGATGATACCCACTGTGCTCTGGACCGACATTAGATGTCAGACGATCGGTGTGTTGCTGATTAATAAGACAAGTCTATTTTACCTTCCCTCCTTTGGTCCAGATCACTGTGGGAGCAGGGTCTCCAGTGATGGGGACATCCAAACGCAGCTTGTTGCCAGCCACCACCACGATGGTTGACTCAGTGGTGCGACCCATACAGTCCAGGTGGATCTTCGGAGGATCTTGTAGAGGAAGAGAGTAATGGTTAAAATGAACAGACCCTTGCGTTTCATCTGGCTTCCTACAAGAGAATAGGTTTGTGGTACCTTGGCGTGGCACGTAATCAATCTTCACCTCTAGGACACAGAGGAAAAAAAAGGGTGTTAGAAATCGTTTTAAGTCAAATTTAGCTTGTGAAACTACGAATAATGTTAAAATGATAAAAGCAAAAAGCATCAATATTACCCAGGAAATTGAGTTTAGCAGAAAGGTTGAAAGCATGGCCATCTGGCACAAAAGTGTAGTCTCCCTCATCCTCTGGTTTGACCTCATCTATGGTCAGTTTGTGGATCCTAAAATGGTGAAAATGTTTGCATTTCAGTTCATGTTGTCATGGGATATGTAGCCTACAGCATATTTAACGCACATGTCCTCACCTGCCAACATGTGTGATATTTATTCTGGCATCCGGCTTGACTTCTGCACCATTCTTGTACCAGGTTCCTCTCACATTCTCATCCGACACCTCACACTTAAACACCGCCTGATCCTCTGCCTTCACTGTGAGGTCTGCAATGCTCTGGTAGACCTCCAGGTCTTTTTCTACCCAATCAGAGAAAACAAGAGCTCAGAGTTCAGATCATGTAAACTATTGAGGCTTTCAGACTTCAGAGGAAGTTCTACTGTACGAGACGGTGAAATAAGATGCAATAAGATGATGATGCATGATGATATTACAGTAAAAAAATTAGATGCAGCTATTCTATGTGAGGATAATATAGTAATAATATCTTCGAGCGTAGGGTGTTCATTATGTGTGCAGCCTTTGTGTGTTGTATCTTAGCAACAGGCACAAGGAGACTAGTTAATTGGATTGAGGACAGACAATGAAGTGGGAGGATATGAAGACCAGATGAAGGAGCTTCAGGCTATTACTGTAAACCACGAGAAATAATCTACATGGGAGTTATTAAGGGTATCCCTAAGAAATTGTTATCTGTGCGAGATAACAATTTATCTCTATTTCGTCACACCACGCTCCTTGTAAAGGTTATAAAGGAGTTCCTCGTCACCTCGCTGCCAGGAACTGCAAATAAGGTGGTTATAGTACTATGATGGGAGTTCTGCCAAGGACTGAGGTGTTGGGCGCGCACATACACCCACACACACACACACACACACACACACATATATCACACATGAATATTTTTTGGGGGGGGGTTCACGAATAGTTCTGCTCTGTGAGCTAATGGTACTAAGATGAAATGGTTATCGGGTGGTTAAATAAAAAAAGAGGGTGAAACTAGCTAGGGTTTATATTTTGCCTACGTCCGTGTACGGATGAGTTTGAACCGTCCGCATCCATCATTTTTAGATCACCTGTGGATTGAAATTAAGCATATTTATCCACCTGTAACCTTCATGTGCAAAACATGCCATGTCTTAAATACACTAAAAGTCATCATATTTAAAATAATAAATAAAAAAACATCAAAAAACATCAAAATCTGACTCAGAATCAGACTTACAAATATCTGAGGGGCCCAGTGCAGATCTTTCATCAGCATCACCGGGCTGTTGTGACTTGGTACTAGAGGCAATTCTATCATCTAGCAACAAAACATACTTTAAAAGCATAACTTATATTTTATATACAATAAAGACAATGACAAATTCCCACGGTGATATTGAGAAACTTTAAAAGTGTTGCATTTCAAAGATCACCATAGTTTTGGGTGTCTTTTTGCTATAAACTATCGAAATGCGAGGCTTTATTTTGCCTGATTCCACATGGTTATAAAGCTTCTATTTTGCCTTTTGAAAAAGTGGGACATTAAATCAACACAATCAAACAACAACACAAAAGAAAAAAAGACCAGAGAGAGAAACGGGCTAACTTGTGCAAACTCGTGCCCTTCAGGTGAAATATGTTTGACGTCTTCTAACTTTAGCTTGCGTGTGGACTTCTTGGCAGTAACCTTGGCAGAATAATGCGGGCAAATGGCAAGAGTCACTATACCCCAAAGATAGACAGCATGCCGGGAGTGGCGTGAATGTTGGTAGGGTATGAGAATGTAGACTTGGAGCGTTCATCACTGACAAAAGTGACTCATACTGTACACCGCTCACATGACTGACACTCACCCTGCACCATGAGTTCAGCCATAGACTCGCCACCGTTCGTTTTAACCTTGTAGTGGCCGCAGTCTTCTTTCGTGGCCTCATTAATGATCAGGACATGTTTGCAGCCGTCTTTCTTGAAGCGATACTTGAAACACTCGTCTCTCGTCAATTCCACACCGTCTTTTTCCCTGCACAGAAATTCACAGCAACAAAAAATATCGTGATTATTAGTCATGATGAAAAGTATCGTAACAAAACATACCTTTAACAGATGGTTCAACACTCAACCTTTCATTTTGACGCTTTCAACCACATCTCATCTCTTGCCCATACAATAAATGGCCACTTGTTTTTCGGTCCACATTTAGGTGTTAGGTGTTGTAAGGTGTAACTAAGTGAGATTCATTTTCTGAATGAGATTTGGGCCAAAAGCTCAGAAAAGTATACATGGACCTTGGAGCTCAGCCAACATATCATAGAAAGAACACTGTGTAACACTGAAATGTTGCTTTGATTCAAAGACATTCTACTTGTTTTGATTTAGTGACAGTTAATCTGGCAACATCCGTTTATCCATCAAACCATGACTCACGGATGTTTTAGCTTAGTTTAGCTATGTTTGTTTTGCATGTCAGCAGCAACAGGTTTACCTTTAGGATTTATGATCCAACAGCATGAACACGTGACTCAGATTTGTGTGTGTAAAGAAGAATATCTAACCATTTAACATTGGCTCCTTCCTCCGAGACTTCACACTCTAGCTCCACCCTCTCACCCTTCATGACCATCTGATCCTCCAGATTCTTCACAATCACAATGGGAGGCTCTGCAGGAATCAGAGAAGAATGAGAGGTTGAACTGAAAATCTCGAACATCTTCTGTACTCATTATGTTGTAAATTTCCTCTAAATCTTGAATACCTTTAACAAAGAGCTCAGTGGTGCATTTCTCCTCTCCCGCCACACAGCAATATGCGGCATCATCTGCCAAGGAGCAGTGGTTGATGGTGAGGTAGCGCATGTTGCCAACACTCTCAAAGATGTACCTTCATAAAGACCAGGGAGACTTTTAAACATTGTACTTTGGTTGAGAGCTATAACTTGAAAACTTGAAGTTGATGAAATGGCAAACTAGTTGGGGAAAGAGCTCATATGCAGTTGTTTTGTAAAATCCAAAAAGAATATTAACACATTTTTTATTGCCCTTTGACACTTACTTGCTATGGATGTAATGAAGGACGGGTTTATCCATATATTGATGAAAGCAGAAGCAAAGGAGAGACAGAGAGAATTCAATTTAAAAAAATGTTATGTTCACCAACATAATTTAGGATTGCTACTGTATTATTTGAATGTGTCATGATGTTTTATTGAGTTTAGGTGACTAGTTTAGGTCTCCTCTCTAAATTCTAACCTTGCTGATGGTTGAATTTGTTGTCCGTTCTTAAGCCATTTCACCTCAGCATCTGCATTGGCCACCTCAATGGCCAGTTTCATTTTATGTCCCTTTGACACTTGGTAAGCTGGATCCAACTTTTTCAGGAAAGCTAAGTTTCAGAGAAGGTAAACATATAATTGCAAAGTTAGAATTAGGTTATAACTTTAAATTGGGTCGGAAATTAGACCAAGTACAACCTAAGACCTCTGCACAAACCTTCACTTTTCTTCTCTTCTTTCTTCATCTTCTTCAGCCTCTTGAGCATGCCTCTCAGGTCGGTAATGCCGTGCTGAAAAGCAATCTTCTCATATTCTGAAGAAGGAGCATGGTTGAGAATGTTCCAGACATCCATGTCCGGCTCTGCGCTCACCTGCACGGCTCTAATACACCAACCAGAGGAGGATGTTCAAAACACAGAGTTTAAAATTAATATTGTGAAGGAAGTAGGCTATAACAGAAGCACAGTACTACTGACATGATGGTAATACCTCAGAAATAGATTACTACTCATGATAACTTACTTTATTCAGGATTAATTCACTTTTAACTATTAATGAATCATTTTAGTCAACTTCATACATTGTTTACTTCCTTATAGCATATAAAATGGTGTAATAAAGATAAGAAGTGTTTTCTATTTAAAAATGATGAATTCTTGCATTGCCAAAAAATTGCTACACACAAAATAAAAAAAACTAGTATCAAATCCAAGCAATTATACAGTGTGCTTGGATTAGGGTAAAATCAATGTATATTCTAAGCCCTCTTGTTAATTCATTCAACCAAATTTTCTATTCATGATTTCTGTATGGCCCAGCTGAAAGCTGCCTACCTTCTTCCTTCATGGGAGCTGTACTGGTAATATTTGTGATATACTTGCTAAAACGATGAGGTATTTGAATTTTACAAGCAAGTAAAATCTCAATTTAGTCTAAAATATGGACAGAAAAAAGGTGAAAGAAGAACTAATGGAAGTAGGAACACAATCTGCGCTGTCCTCCCCTTCCTCCTTCCTCTCTCTACCTCTCATTAGTCTGCATGTCTTTACCTCACCTGTCCACTAGATGCCCTCAGCAACTTTTCTAGCTCAGCCAATCACCTGGCAGCCTTCGTGAGCAGCCGTGTGCCTGCAGCTTCTTTTCTTGTGTTCAAGCTGTCTGTCTTTAATTTATGTAAATATTTTCCTGTTGCATATTTGTTGCTGATATTTGACTTGCTGCAAGTTGCTGGCTTTTGTCCCGATTGCTCAAGTGAGCAAAATGCTGTTTACAACTATTGTGAGCACCTTGTTGCACCTCAATAACAAAGATTACAAATATGGTTAGCAAACTATTATTGGCTTATGCTATTTAATCAACACTTAGGGTACAACATAGTGTAACAAATTAGTAAATTAATACATAACTTTAGATAACTGACAGCTGAATGTATGCAAAACAACATTTTCCTACGATACTCAGCAGTTTCTTACCGATTTGAGGATTTTAAGAAACTGCTGCTCATTCAAAGGAACAACCCAAGAGTCAAATATGGCAAAACAAACCAGACACGTTAAAACACAGCATATCAACAGTAACATATCCACATATTAGAAACATGCATTTAACAGTAGTTAAATATCATAGGAGTTGTTAAACTGCAGGTAAGCATGCATGAATAAATAAGGACTAACTAATGTAATTCTGTGTTTGGGGTTGGATATGGTGTCCAATTATTTTGTGCACAAAGGACAATGAGTGTTTCGAGATTTTTGACGTGTTGTGAAAGTGACTTGTGTTTCTGAGTGAAGACTGCAAAGAATGTTCATAATGTCAGAGAAAACCAACATGTAACGAAAAGAGAAGTGTTGCTGTGTGAGTTGTTGTGGTAGAAACGAAGAGAAAAAGAGTGCAATATTAGCGATCACATATCACACTTAATCTATAAGTGTGATAGTGAAAGTGAGATAAGATAGGGTGACTAGATAGTGGAAGTGGAAAATCAGGACTGTTATTGCTGCATGTGTATTTAATTGTATTTTCACTGGCAGATAATTTAAATTATTTGAAGAAGCTTTTGCAAAGTGCAAAACCTCCTTTTCAAGTTAAATTCCTGAGACAATGGACACATCAAATCACGCTAATGTATCATTGTCCTCGGGCGTTTTTGCATGCAGTTAAGTTATCAGGCTATCATTCCAGCTTTTAGTGCAAATGCCGAAGTAGCTTACTCTCTGAAGATGCAGGACGAATGAGAAAGAATGAGACAGAAAAAGATTATAAAAAGCTGAGTATCTACTGTTACCTTATTCTGAAAGTATGCAAATTGCTGTCACTATTTTGTAACTGCTTACCTCTTTTTTAATAAGGTACTGAAGTCCAGCTCTCCTGAGTCTTCCTTTCCATCTTTACTACTGCAGAAATATCAGCCAACAGCAGCAAAGCATCAACACCACAGTATAAAACAAATCCACGTTTCTAGACTTTTATACAATATGAATCATTTCCTGTTAACTCATGCTCCAATATGTAAAAACAATGCAGAATGATACTGTACAATGCAAATATCCAAATAATAAAATTAAGCTTGGGTTAAAAAAGACAATTTTGGATTGGTCATTCTGTAAACTGAAAAGGAGATCAGTGCATTGATGGATAAAACAAGTGATATACAGGCAGACGTTTTGCTGGAGAGACAAGTGTTGCCATGTTTAAAGGAACAGCACTAGGCACTTTGGGAAATACACTATTTATTTATTACTCTCTTATGTTTGTGTCAGCTATAGAACCAGAGCTGAGAGAGTATTAGATACACATAAAGACTGGAAGAGGGTGAAACAGCCAGCTTGGCTCAAACCAAAGTTAAAATATCTGCTACCAGGACATTATAACTCATTTGTCAAATCCATTCAAAAATGTTCTGGTTTTATGGGGAGCCCCAACAACAGCCTAGCACGTTACACCATGTAGCAAACTCCTTTTAAACAGACATCTCATTCTATTTTTTACATTTTTGTTGCGATACAATGGGTTCACTAGTGAGCTTTAGAGGTACTGGCCTATTTTTTTTCCAACTGAACTTAAATTGCATGATACATCATATCTGCTCTGTAAATGTCTCCCATCGAGAAAAAAATAATTACATTTATATTTTTCATGTTTTCCACAGTTAATGTCAGTTTGTAGGCTAAATAGCAGCAATAGCGTGATGTCTTACAAATGTTATTTTGTTGTTTTTGTGTGAATTTTCCTATAAATGTCCAAAAATATGAGTGATCAGTGTGCTTGTGAAAGCTCCTGCTGTGTTTAGGTAACAAAACTACTTGGGTAGGTTTCGGAAAATAAGAACGGAAGTGGCGTTGCTAAAGTGTGAAAATGACGTGACAAATAAGTCAACGTTGACTTCTGGTTCTGCATAAGACACAAACCGTCTCTTTGGTGAAAGTCTGGTGTTTCTAGACCAACAGATCTTTGTGACTTTGTAGACTTTGTATGTCACCCATCGTGACTCACCATAAGTAATCCAAATGTGGAATACTTATGAATTGATTAAGTGGGTTACATGGTTACATATAGTGCATTTTCTTATAGGTATAGCTACAAACAGGGTATGAGAACAGCCGGTCTGTTTAAATGTCACCAACACACCCCTCCAGCTGCTGAGTGGAAAAGGAGCATTTATGGTATTTCCCCCAAAGATCATTTTCTTCTTCCTTTTAATAATAATAAAACAAAAGTACTATCAATTCAAAAAGACATTATTTTTGACTTAAGGGTGACTAAATGTGATTCCCGTTGGCCATTAAGCTATTTTTATTTGCAATTTTGTCCTTATTGGAGAGTTTACAGTGAAGAGGCAGACAGGAACAAGGGGGAAGAGAGAGAAAGGGGTATGATGGAAGGGGGATGTTGTGGTTATGTGCTCTGCACCTTTGCAACCATTACCTTACCGTGGGTTACCCGTTAACTAGCCAGGCTAGTTGTTCACCCCTGCCTCCAGTCCTGCTACGTTAAATTAATCACCTCCTGGCTGAAGCTTCAAACTTAACACACACACATTTGACAGTGGTCTCAATTTTCTCTTCTTAACTCTCAGAAAGAAAATGTTAGCAAGCAAATTCATATTTCCCAAAATGTTCAATTATTCCGTTAAGCCGTGAGCAGCAGCATCCATCCACGCAAGAACGTCACAAAACACTCAAGGTTAAAGACAACAACAGCCTCCATAGGATCTGCTCGACTCTAATCAGTGGGATGAAAGGTAAAGACAAGGGCAGATATTTGACTGTGTGCTTGTCTCCTGTCTCTCCGACAGCAGGATTAGAAGCTGAGTCTCTGGTTTATGTGGTGAAGTTACAACACAGCATAGCTGCACTTCCTCTATGTGGCAACCCTGTGGAAGAGCTCATTTACTGAAAAGCCTGTGTGTCTTAGCACATCCTGCCCTTTCAGTACGATCAAACCACCGTCAAAGCTCACTCTGCCGGGAAGCTGTTTGTGCAGCTGGCTCTGCTGTTTTGATCGAGGCCCAGGATCAGAGAGAGCTGATGGCTGCAACCAGTGCTTGTTACTCAGTGGCTTAATAACCAAATCTCGATGCATCAAAATCTGGCTGAGTCAAAGGTTAACACAATGACAGCTAGTTAGCGCCTACATCAAAGATTTCTTTTAATTTCAGTCCTCTCAGCTCTCTCTGGTCTTCGTTCTGTGGTCCATCTCTCAAAATTCAACAGATTGGAAGCTGCACCATCCACAACACTGGTTCTGTTTGACTTGATTCAGAGAAGAAATAGTCCACAGGAGAGCGACAGAGCCTCTTATCCTGGTCCTGGTTTCTCTCTGCTTCAACAATCAGAATCCTCAGAGTTTGAATACGAGCCACCATTGTTGCAACAAACCCTCTTTACTACCTTGATTGTGGTCCACTTCCCTTCTTACCGGCTTCGTTCCCAATAGGTTAGCATTTACACAGTCACTTGTTACACAAAACATGGTAATATACTACCGAGGGTCACTGAACTGAAGTTGCCAATTGTATTAATCTCTTACAGTATTAAATAGCAGAATATGGATAATGTTGCTGCTATGTTTTACTGTACATGATTTTGATTTGTTTTTTATCACATGATCACTATCTCATTTGAAAAAGAAACTTCATATTAAATCAACTTCAGATTGGCAGGTATTAGTTGAGCACTGGAGCAGAATATGGTCTAGTTCATCAGAGTTTGTTATATAAAGCTTTTTATCATAAAAAAACTGTTTTGAACATAACACTTCAAATATGACTAAATATGAGCTGTTTGTTTTTAGTTTTTAAACACAATAAATATAAGGCAGAATAGCATTTATTTTAGGTACATCATTTCACTGAGGGCATGAATCAACACGTATAAAATGATTAGTTAAAATGACTTTTGTTTGTAACTGATCAAGTTTTTCAGTACCTAAGGTACAACATTTTGCTTAAGACTTGTAAGCTCAAGAAAGAAGCTATATGACACTATTAATGAAACTTGTCTGGGGACCAGCGGCCAAAACCTTTATGTGAAACTAATAAAGGAAAAAGTAAACTAATCAATCAGCATATAATCGATTTCAATGTGACCAAACATCCTTTTTACAAAGACTTAAAAAACTTACGTGCGCCTAAAAGCTGCTCTTATGTCGAAACCTTCAGCAGCACAAGCCTCTGAAATTCAAGAGAATCATTTTATTGACTGAAATTATATTTGAAACAATTCTGATGAGTGTCAGAAACAAACTAACAACAGGCTCACTCACCATGTACAGTCAAGTCAAAATTGCAGCTGTCAAACTTGTCCCTGGATGCAACCTCACATCTGTAAGCTCCAGCAAAGTTTGGCTTGGCGTCGATGACTTGCATCTCAAACGTATAGACCTGCAACCACACGCACGAGGAGAGACGTGAGAAGCATTACGCGACAGGAGTAACATCTTCGATTCAAAACCTTGTTGTACGTATGCTTCATGTGTGTAACATTAGTGAGTTTCAGATTTGGTATCTTTATAGAGTGTAAAAGTTTGTTTTGGCGTCTTGTTCTGAAATTCTTAAACAAAATCTGTTGGGTTAACATGTCTTTCAGTCTCCCCATAACATAGCATCTGAGGTAGCGTGCCTGCGATCCATCATGTCATAAGGATGAGGGACTGAGGCAAGAGCTTGCAAAACTAAGGGTGAGAAGGGCAATACTTGCAAAACACCTTTGCTGCCTGAAAGAAAAAATTCTACATATTGCAGTTTTTTGACTAATGATGTTGTCGAAATACATACGTATAATGGGAAGTTGCTTGTTTGCTCTTGAAACAAAGTAAGAAAATAGGACATATATTGTGTGTCTCAAGATCTCAAAATACGATGTCTCTGTTTTTGTTTTGGTGTCTGCAGCATTAGTCTACGGTACCTTACTGCTGCGGTCATACGTCTCCTTAAGCTGCAGGTGTTTTCCAGACTTGCTGGCGAGGTCCATCCACTTCCCTTTGAACCATTTGATGTTGGGTTTCTTCAGCAATGACTCAGCATTCACTTTAGCCACAAACGTAATGTTTTCACCTGCACAAAAGATGAATTTACCATGTGGCTTAGCACATTATCCTTCAGATTCCTACTGTATATCCAATGCAGCACGTCATGTTATCTCTATGCACATAAATACCCATATAGTCTCTCACTTGGATCTAGGATGTACATATAAGTTTGGCAAATAAAAAAATAAATTAAAAAAAATCAACAATTTGGGAGTTAGGGATTAGTTTTGAATTAAAAGCACCATTAACATGTATAGCTGTATATAACTTTAATTTTATTTCCATCAACTTTCCTTCTTTTCACATTTCACAATACCTTGCCTAGCTCAGAGTTTGAACTGAAACAATGTGATAATAAAAGTGTAAATAAATACTCATATTAAACCTTGTTAAGACAGTTTATTCAACAGAATGTGACACACGTACTTCCTGTACTTGAAGCCACTCACCTACAGTGACCTCCCCACTCTGGGGTTTTTCTGTGAAGAGTCCAGTCAGCGCCTGTCTGGTGTCCGGAGGCTGTCCCTCTAAATAAAGAACAACCACAAGGTCAGAGCAGAATACCACAACATGATGTTGAGGGATCAGAATCAAACAATGTTAATTTAAAATATACACATATGCAATGTGTTGCATGGAATTACAGGATGCAAAACCTTTCATTTTAAATTGCATTATTTGCAATATTATTCAAGGTCGACAAATTGAGTGTATGACATTTGAATAAAAGTCTTTTTTTAGTTTAAATACATTAATTTAACACCCAAAGGTTCTCAGGCTTACATATGCTCAGACACTATCAAAAAGAAAACCAAGTAAATATATGCTACTCTATGCATATGGTTCAAAACATAGAATATGAGACACAAACTTGAAGGCAGCTAAGCCCAATGCCTGTGGCCAATGCCAAAATACACATGTCCCGTAATGTACATGTATGTGCCATATCAAACAGACGTTTGACATTTCCAGGAAAAGCTTAAGTCAATGATTAAGATATCATGATGAGCAGCATGGTGTACTTCAGTGACTGAACAAAGGAAAGGGGTTAAGTAACTCACCCTCAGCTTGAGGAGCATCATGTGCCGGGGCAGCGGTCTGGTCCTCAGTGGGTGCTGCTGCAGGTGGAGCAGGAGCCTGTTCCGGTTCGACAATAGTCTCCCCAGGTGCATCAGCAGGGGCCTCAACTGGAGCTTCTGTGTTACCAAAGAGATGACAAGTCACAAGTTAGAGGTACAATGAAAAATATTGGATCCGTACATTGCACATCTATCAACAAGCAGTCAGCTACAAAAAGGCCAATGACCGATCTGTCAAACTTCATTTGTAATCATAGAAAATGTGTGTAACCAGCAAAATATTCAGTGAAACTTTGAGAAGCACTTAACATGAGACTATTTTGTGTACCAAGGCCAATAATCAGTTAAATGTATACAGTTGAATCTATTTGATACTTAAACTCTTTTATGACGTGTGAAAAAAATGTCTCTGCTGAACAAATATTTCGAATGTCTTATCATCTTTGAATGGCTGAACGATTTTCCATGTGTTATCAGCTGCCTCTCATGCCTATCCTGAGCACCAGTCAAGTGGTGGTTACTCATGAGGAAATAATGTGCCGGTGTGAGGGTCAAGGTCTCCGTGCAGACAGAGTAAGGGTGGCTATGATGTGGGCCACGGACAGCTGTGGGACGTCTCTTGTAGCACACTGGGCCATTAGTCTGCTGCCTTTCTTCAAGATTCGTTTCCACCTTATCAAATCCAAACAAACGACCTCAGCCGGTCACAATGACAGACTAATGGCACAAACATTGATGTTTGACACACTTAGCACACAGTCATTGCAGCATGCAGAACAGTGCTCAGTAGATGTGATAAGGTGCTGGACAAAATGATTGTGATTGAGCCAGTGAATGGAAATATCCAGATCCTTAGAAGAATAGTTTGACATTTTAAGTGCATGTTGTATCTCGCTTGTTTAGTATATAACGTCAAGCCCCAAGAAGCTTTCTTGTTTTACACTTTGCGATATAACATGTTAATTAGTGATCTTTAGAAGTGCTGGTATGTGGATTTTGTTACCTTCGGACAGAGCCAGGCTAGCTGTTTTCTTTTGCTTTCTGTCTTTATGCTAAGCTAGCTTGCTGTCAAAGCTATGGACTGCTGCGGACGGGGACAGCTGCAAAACATATTTTAACCACTTAAAAGAAAGGCCAACCTAAAGAAATAATTTCAAGTGTTCAGTTTGTACTCCTGTCTGCTTCTCCAAACTCAGGGCGTGCCGATTGTCATCTTCTGTAGGTAAAACACTCACTATGGGTAAGTTGAATCTATTTGATACATCTAACTCTCTGCAACAAAGTTAATTAGAGTATTTCCTAAAATGTCGAACTATTCCTATGAGAGCAAATACTTCTTAAAGATAGACCTTACAAAGATGTTTCAGAGGCTTGTCGCTGAGCAGCTGTCAGAGTGTGCAGAATGTGAGTTCATGTGCAGAAACATCAAGTGCATGCAGTGCATCAAGTATTTACTGCCTCAGCGGTTTTCTGCATTGAATGCTATATTTTGCTTTGTGCTCTGTGACGACACAGCCTGTAGGTGAGCAAGCAGAGACCTCAAACGCACAGCTGCAGCATCAAAGTCTCCCACCTGGCTTTGATAAAACCTTCAGGTCAAACTTGACCTTTGACCCCCCAGCGATCACTCCGTAGACATTGGCATCTTCCTTGGTAATAGCTTTTAAAGCGAGGGAGTGCTTGTTTCCGTCTGCTGTGATCAAATATTTGTCGCCACTGGCGATGTCCTTTGAGTTGCACTGCCATTTCACTTTAGCATCAGGCTTCCCGGTCTCTGCTTCAAAGACCACAGAGGACCCCTCCTCTGCCTCCTGAGACTTTGGTTTCTTGGCAAACGCTGAAACTGAGGAGGGAATGTGGGTTCAAAATGAATAAGCCCTGTTAAGTGTAACTTTGTTTTAACATATCTGCTTTAAGGGTGTAATCAAATAGTTTAAGGAGAAAACATGGATATGATAATTGTTGAGTGGACATTGAAAATGATTTTGTGACATTGTGAGAAAAAAACAAAACAAGTAACAGGTAACTGTGGTTACTCTTTGCACCTTGAATACATTGACAATTCAATTAAAGACCCCAAATACTGTTTATGATGTTCTTGGTATTTGAAGCTATAATCTTGGAAGTTTCCATCGACAAACAAACATCACGCCTGAAAAAAGATCAACACACATACTATAACTAATTGCAGCAAGAGTGAACAAGTAAGAGAGAGAAGTGTGTGTGTGTGTGTGTGTGTGTTGGGGGGCAGAGCTGAGCGGAGCTGCTCATGAGCTGAAAACGTACAGTGTTGTACAGTCTGCACTTCACTGGGTGGGGCTAGCTGAAAACTAATACATTTGCCCTTTCCCAGTCATAGTGTCTTAAAGCAGCAACATCTGGCTCCATAATAAGTCTTATTTGTGCAATCTTGGTATTCACTTTCATAGTTTCTGTACTAACAAGAGAATAGTGAATGTGGGGAGTCATGAAAGAGTAAATGTAAATATTGAGCGTGGGGAAATTAGATAGATCTAAAGAACCTAAAGTTTATTCAACATGAACATCTGGAACGTCTATAACAAACTGAACATCAGCACACAATTAAAAAACTATCTATACTTATTAGTAACAGTAACAGGCATGGGATCCTAAATGTGTAAAAAAAATCAATACATGGTGCCAAGGGTCCGTCTATTAATAGTAGGTGTTACACCCATTGTGTAAAACACCAGCTGTTGCCTTTCATGCTGTGCAGGGAGGTCTTTTTATCTTTTGAGAAGTTTTAAAACATGCATAGAAACGTCACCCTCCACTTGTCATCTTTAAAAAGGACCTAAAAATAGTGAGTGACATGAGAGTAGACATGTGTCCAACAGTAACGCCAGGTGCTTAGAATCATGAAATGTATGGAGGCCTAATTCAGATACATATCCAGAGTCCTTTGACAGTTCAATGTACTGAGCAAAAAAAAAACATGTGTTGCAAGATGACCTTATGTGTTTATATATAGGATACATATGTACTGGACTAATACATGAGGCTGGCAGACTTCAGCTGCAACAGGGGCGCAGGTATCACAGTCGAGGGATTAACTGGACTCTATTTTTGTGACTCTGGGGCCACAGAATGATTGGTGTGCCCTCAGTCTGTCTGCAGCCATCAACCGCTTGTCACGCTGTCAATCACTCATGCTGCCAGCTTTACCTTTCACATACTCTTATCACATTTAAAGTAAAAGGACTCTCCTTTTATTTCAGTTAATATAAAATACTAAATTAAGGTTCAAAAATATTTAGTGGGTATACTTTCAAAAACTTTGTTTAGAAGAAAGAATATTTAATTACATAAGAGTTAGAGTAAAGTTTATCATAGCCGTTAAGTGACCATAATATCTGAAATCTGTTGATTGAAGTCTCTTTGTTTGTCTAAATACAAGATCCTGTTTTACAGAGCTCTGACTAAGCTCTTTACTCATTTATAATCAAGAGTTACTGTTCTTTATGCACCTTGCAAGGTTAACAATAATACGATCAATTCAGGGATGACTTTTGGGTTGGTTGGCACTTATACCTTCAAAAGTAAATCAAAGTCTGACCTTTTAATGATTTACTGTTGTTTTCAAGGCATTCTTTTATGAAATCATATTTTTATGTTAATTCACTTTCACCGCATACATACTATGTATTCATGTATTATTTTGTACATGTTTTATCTGAACATAATCATTTATCAGTGGATTGCTTCAGTTAGTTGCTTGTTTTATAGTACCTTGTGGTATTTTTACCACTAGTGTTGCCATGGGTCACTGTTTACAAGTTTTGTTTGGATAATGCAGGAATTCACCTTTAATTAAAATGTGTCTCAAACCTGCAATAACTGATTTTTTTGGCCGCTTGGGGGCAGCAAAAGTTGTGAACACAACATTGACATATCGTCGCTTTTTAAGTTGATATGGTGAACTTTAAGTTTTTCACAGCCAGCAATAAAAGAGCTAATTTATCAGTAACTTAGAGTTACTAACTGATGAATTAAGTCCAACACGAACTCTCTTTTAGGTCCTTCTTTGGTCCCCTGACGAAAATACCTGGCTGTGTTCACCGTCGTTTGGTGCTGAGCAGGTAGTGTACAGTGGGTTTTAAGATCTTTTTCACTGAAAACGATGCTATGAGAGCGCTGAAAGTGAACCAAAACTGTAAAGTTGCGTGTCGGACAGCTAAACAATGAGGTTGAATTTACGGCACCGAGGCGATCTGCAGATTCAGGTGATGATTATCTCTAGGTTCATCATTACAAGTAACCCCTTTCACATTGTCACATTGTCGTTTAAGACACTGTTATTTGAAAAATATTAATTATAGATGCTATAATATACATATTTTTTACCTTAAAGTAGACAAAGCAAACCATGTTTATTAAATACAATTTCAAAACTCTGAGTTCAAAACCCTGAAAAGCATCCTGTTTATTGCAGTGTTGATCCTGATTGATAAAAATGTCACATGCAGGCGCAAGACGATCCTAACTGTTATTTTCCTGAACAAATCCAAGGCACTAAAAGTCTTAGCACACACAAGCTGGCCATTTGGGCTGCAATGTGTCAACTGATATGTGATATGTCGTCACTCCACAAACAACAAACCCTTCCCACCTAAGAGAGGAGGGGGGGGGACAAACTGTGGAAAGTCATTTGTCAACTTGGAATTTTTTGGAACATTTACATTTTTTGGATCAGTGATGCATTTTATGAATGCAGTGATGTGACAGAAATGTGACAGTGTCGAATTCATGTTACACAATGTTTCCACCTGAATCACACGATGTGTAACTGAGTTCCTGACACGTCCAAAAAGGGCTCAGAGTAACTATCATGCCACTGGCAAACACATTGAACTAAGCATGGATAATTGCACGTAGTATGTTGTGATTTTAGCCACTGGCTACATTAGCATTTGTACTAAGCTACTTTATTAAGCCGTGGTATTATGTGTTGGAAGTGTAGACAGTTACTTGACCTGATCTACAGTATTGTTATCACATTCACTAGTATCTGCATGACATTTTACCAATCACCCTATTTCATTTTTGTCTCAATACACGTCATAGTTATAGAAGTCTTCATAGCACAATGCCTCGTTTGAATAGAGAAGAGTTTCACAGTTTTAAAGGTACATAACAAATCTATTATCTGCTACTGTTACTTCAGTGTCCCTGTGTGGAGTCAAAAAAGTTAATTTTATTCTGTCTTGTTATAAAAATGTATTAAACAAATTAAATTTCTCTATTTTACAGATTGTATAGTCTGTTGATAAACCTGTAAATTCAAATGATATACTACTTTTACACAAATGTAGAATATATACATGTAAATGGCAAAAATGTGCTTTTAATTGTGACAAAATGGCACAATTGTGACTTAAAGGACACTGTGGTAATACAATTAAACAGCATAATATAAACTTTTTTTTTTTTTTTAAGTAATAATGTTATTATTCCGTGAACAGTCTAACAGTGCAGTTCTCAAGTGATCTTGAGTTTGTTTGTGGTTTACAGTTGAGGGGCGTGGCCCAACACAGCAGAATATTTTCTCACACATATTGTAATATCACATAGTTGGTTTCTCAGAAGAAGTTTGTGTTTCAGGAGAATATTGCACAGAGGAAGTAAAACATACATCTAGACATTCAGTTGCAACATGTTGATAAATTCACAGTTTTCTATAACAGGTCATATCTATTGTAGACTTTCTTACACATTTGGTCTGACAACAGGATTAAGCTAATATTAAACAATGTAATGTTAGTTTTTTCCATGTTCCTTTGTTAAGGAAACAGTGTGACAAAACTTTCAAAAGTAGCTGAATAAGCACGTTTACCTGCTTTTTTGACTGGCTCTGGCATCCTGAATGATCTTCTCTCCTCCACAGTGTGACTCGCTGTTCCTAAACAATCTGCCGTCTATCTCGACCCTGTGCCTTTAATAGTGGTGCTGCTGCCAAAAAACCCCCCCATTTTCCTTTCATGAACCATCCCACCTCTGTTGCCATGTTTTTTTTCTCCAAGGCCCAACACAATGTCCAAACGAACATCAACTCCCCCGCCCCGTGCTTCCCATCCCATCCCAGCAGCAACCCGGCCCCCAGCCAATCCCCCGCTCACGTCTGACCTCGGGCTATATTTCAACCATCCTTTCCTCCAACACCTCGGCTGAATGATAGGGCTTGAGAGGGAGGGGAAGAGACGCATGTCGGTGGTTAAATTTAGAAACATCTATGCTGCATTAAGTCACCCTGTAAATCTAACAACGAATATGAGAGGATGGTTGAGAGTATGAGATGTATAGGTTTGTTTTATTACCATACTATACTACTACTGTATACATACAGTATATAAATCTACTATAACCACTTATATTACCATAAATGAGACATGGGGAAGAAGAGAACCTCTCACAAGCTTTTTAGTGTTGCAGCCTCAATTTAAAATGGCAACTGGACCAGTCATCAAATTGTGAGATGTGGTTTAATAAGTTGACGACAGAAATGATCAGTGCTGTATTCAGAGAGCCACATCTGTTGCTTAAGTTGGTTCATCATGGAGTCCTTGTTGTGACCCTTACTTCTGTTAATGTGTTTTTCTTTTCTCACTTAGTTTCCTAACACACTCAGAACTCATCTGATCCTGCCGTAATAACATTATCCAGCACTGGTTAAGCTATATAGCATTGCATTTTATTGTTTTCTATTATATTATATCTCTTTTCGTCTTCTCACGTATTACTTCTGGGCATTAATTACAACTTGACCATTGAGGGGAGCTGTTGGCCCTTGGGACACCAGCTGCTGTAGTATTTTTACATTTACACACTGCACATTACATTTTAGCAAATTACTGCCTTGTATTGCAGTGTTTTTGTATCGTGTTATACTGTATATTATTTAATTTTCTTTGATGTCTTTAAAACAGTTTTATTATTATTTATTTAACTAAATTTAATCTGCAAAAGTGGTTTTGAAATGTGGTGAATAAATATTGTTAAGTTCCTATTTTTCTGTTCAAAGCGAGGTATGAGGGAGTGACATCGATAAGCATTGCATAAGCATCGCTGCAGTGTTTCGGCAGTTTCCTAAAAACTATTTTGTTTAGAAAAATGATGAATAAAACTACGATAACTAAACAAAAACAGAGACAAGATATCATTGCATGGCATTCAAGAAAAACTACACCAGTCAATGCAGGGGAAAACAACTGGATGCACAGCTGCTTTGCATACTTGGATGCAATGTATTAACCACATAGTCACCAGTGATCTCTACAACTGTAGTGAAATGTGACAGCTCATCTTCTTCTTCTTTGTGTTTTATCTCTGCTGTGAAATGTTATCTCTTAAAAACACCATACACATATGTTTGTGATGAATTTATTTTTTTTACAAGCAGTTCCTCATTAGAACATACAGAGTTTCATGTACAAAACTTTTGTCATGTAAGTATACCATAGTAATGATCTTATAATTGTCCTAATGGGATAGATTCATTTTAAGGTTAGTCTATCCCATTTATTACTTATTTGTGTCTTCTTGTTTTAAATATGAATTTGCAATTCTATATACATGGAGTAGTACACATAGTATTACCCACAAGAAAACTTAAGCCTGTTCAACACACAAAGAGTCAAAGACATTAGAAAGAAGGCTCAGGGCCTACGGGATATTTCAACTCTCACTAGTTGTCAAACAAAATATTTGTCCCTTAACATTGAAAATCTATAAACAGAAGTTTCCAAAAAGAAAATGCACTGATATGTGTGTGCACCCACATTTAAAAATGCATACTGAGCATCAAAGTGACCCAGGGTCTAGGATCCATAAAGTGAAACTGCAACGCCCTCCTCTCTCTTTCCACTTTTTTCCTTTATGACTGTACACTACCAATCTATTGGTCCCACTGTACAGCAGTAATGGTGCTATTCACAAAATGCAATTTCCAGAACAGCAAGTTTGATTAAGCATCGAAGCATCTAACACTTTTCATGTGTAAATCTTGACATTTCAGGATCCCTCCTGCCTACATGTATTTTCTCTCCAGATGACTCTTCCCCAGCACCTCATCACTGAACTGGTACGTCAGCTTCTTCTTTATTTTTTTCACCTCTCCAGTTTTGCCATAGTTGCGTAAGGCACGAGCCATCTTCTGATAGGTCATTTTTTTGCGGTTTCCCTTCTGGATTCCCCAGCGGTGTGCGAGAGCCTCCTTGTGTTTGGAGGAAAACTGGAATGTCCCTTTGTCTCTGTCCACCCACCAGATACTGTCTTTCATATCGCCGTTCCTCAAAAGGTCCAACAGGAACTGGTACAATCGGATCTTCTTTTTATTGCCTGTTGGAAACATCAGTGTTGCACTGTTACTAACTGATGTTTACTGTAGAAGAAATAATATATAAAATAAAATGTAAAAAAACCTTGTGATTCTAAAAAACAGCATAAAGCCCTATTTTTTTTAGCTGTGGCACAGTGACACCATAGATGGGGTGAGTCAATTGTTTGTTCTGAGTTTCAACCTGTCAACCACATCTGTTATATGAATTGTATAAGATAATTCAGACATTAGGCTAATTAGCAATAACATAAGAGCAGAGACACAACATATATTTTTCTAGGTCCTGTTTCTTAATCTTAATCTTAATCAAAGTTGCAAGACAACAATGACTACAAACAATTTAGAGAAATACTGCGAGATGTAATCCTCCTTGAGTCACTGTTTTAGTGTTATCCACATTGTCATGGTGCTGCGTGGAAAACCTAGTTGATGACATATTAACTGTTTTTTGAAATATAATAAGATAAGACATTTGGGATGATGTGTATATTTTTCACATCGTTTAACAAATGTCTGTACCAGTACAATCAATCATCAAAGTCAATGTTTGAGTGCTGAACTTCAAAGAGATACCTAAGAGAAAAATTAAGGACACTGTATGTTTCCCATAACAGAAAATCGTATCATTATCTTTTTAATATTGGTGCTTACAAAATTCTAGCATTTAATAAATTACCATCAAACTGTCCTCAAATACAATCCTGTAACCACTTTGTAAACAGGCTAAAGACAAAGTCTGATTCTAGTTATCAGAAAGGTTACTTTACAGTCAAACTGGCATTGACAGTAACCACAGTTCTCTGAGTATGGAAACTTTCCACGCTACTTGTTCAATATATTTGTGGTGTGCAGTCAAGGTGGATACTCTGGGGTTTCCATTAGTAAGTTGCAATACATGGTAATTATTAGACCATACATGTTGTCCTTGTTTGAAACAGGGACTCTGTGAGGGACTCTGTGAGGCCATGACTAGGTTAAAAATAGCATTACATTAACAAAAATACAAAGGGCTGCCTTGATGTGGGCAAGGTACAATAAGTATCACTAAAGCTGATGGCGTACTATCACTGTCGCCGAAGTGCTCACAAAGCTACTTGGATAAAAACAAACCTCATTTTCCCAAAAGCATTCAGCTACAGGCAGTGCAGGTACTGCCAGACACAACTAGCACTCAGCTGGTCCTACACTGGCCAAAAGAGGAAGTGGAGAGCAAGCATGTAATTTGAGTGGGACACGTCCCCCGACAAATGGAAACTGTTCCCCCCCAATATTTGTCATGAGCAGTTATCAAGTGCCTCCAAAAAATGAAAAGAAAGCTCATTTTCTCCACTTAATATCCAGTGTTAAAGCAACTGGACTGCACACTGGATGCTCACTGAACTCCTCCTGCCTCATGTTCGTGTTCATGTTACCGAGAAATACTGAACACCAACTGTGCTCACGGACATGCACAGTTGATTACTCTCAGGTCTACTCCACAAGTAAAACATGTTAAATATAAACCAGTGTTTTACTGCTCTTGTTGTATACAAACATGAGCTAGTACAGACACAGCCTCATTCCCCAGACCAGCAACCTATGAGCCATTAGTGCTTTGGGTTAATGTGCTGATGACTGTTCACATTTCTGCAGAAGGGCTTAGACCAAAACATCACTCAATAAAATCTTTGACAAGGGGTTGCCTCATCAGAAAGCCAAAATGGGAATTATTGGGGATAGCCAGACATTCTTTTAGTACACCTGCTGGATTATTTGCACAATACATTATAAAAATCCAGCCTTGGAGACCAAGAGCATTGAAGTTTATAACAGACAAACAACCAGTCTGTCTTTTTGTGAGCCCACTTCCGTTAAAGATGCATAACCAGCAGTGTAAAAGCAGTTGTGCAACTAGTAGCTCATCCTAAAAGTGCATCTTAAATTGTCAGCAGAATACAAAGCTGACATGACTCAATGTCAGACCTCCACCATGTCAATGCGAGGAACCCAACACTGGCCTGCTGCCACATTGATTTAGATTCTTGAGACTGAAGAATCTGAAGCAGGAGTCTCAAAGTCATTTTAGTTCATGGGCCAAACCATTGCATATATACATCTATACATAACAAGACCTCCATTGTTTACCCTCTCTTTTAGTGCAAAGAAGTACAAGCACATTCTGCAATTATTCACAGTTCAAAAACAATCCATTTACAAAACAGATGATGTTTCACTGATCTCGTGGTTACCACTGAAAACAGACTAGTGTTTCCTCAAACCTGACTACAATTCGTTTATCTTCTCTGCTCTCAGTTGTCCTGAAAGAAATAGCAACTGGGCCAAACTCTGTCACTTCACTTTTCTCCTTTTTGACATTTTCCACCGGTGGCTCCTACATGAACAGTAGTCTACGCTTGACAGTGTTGTGGCACGTAGCCTTACGTAAGCCCGCGGGATCTATAATATTATATCCGCAATTTTCACACTTTGCAAAGTCATTCAGAGAGCTGGATTGGACCCTTTGGCGTGCCCGTTCTGGCCCTCGGGCCGTATGTCTGACACCCCTTATCTAAAGCAAGTCAAGTGACTTAGCACTTCTAGATATATCATGACCTGGATGATTGAGAATCCTCACATGGCAAGCACAGCTGGTTTTGTGTCCGTGTTAACTGCTCAGTAGAGAAATGGAGTGTTCCACAACTGCACACATGAAATGGCCTGCACATCTTTATCCTTACCCAGCTCTCCTGGTGTGACATAAGAGACTCGATCTCTCAGACACTCCTCATCAGACACCTCCAGTGGGGGACTTCGTGCTCCGTGCTCCTCATCATCAGAGCTGCGCTGGGACACATTTGGTGGATACAATGCCCGAGGGAAGAACGCCACCTAAAACCCAGGAGTCAAAGTTAATTAGACTGAAATCAACACATCTGTAATGGCTAACTTATTGATCATATACAAATTTGCTTCATGTTGCCTTCAGGTTTTAGAAGAAATACAGCTTTTCAAACTGTATGAGAATGTTACATATGTCATCCGTATTTCTTTGGTTACACAATTACGCACAAAAAAAAGCATAATTTTATGGACTACAGCGTGACATATTTGGAAATGTTGGGATCCTTCACTTGGGTACTTGAGTATTTCCGTAGTCGCTCACTTTCAAAGTGATAGCTCGGTCCGTATACTCGGCACACAGTTGCACACGTTTCCAGTGGGTGTTACACACAGTTTGTCCATAGTCAGAGTGTCCGGATTGGGGACCTCAGAATTGTGTCTCTGCCCTTTGCAGATGATGCACTGTGGCGGTTTGCAAACAACTGTGAAACGGTCAGAATGAGAGTCAAAGTCTGAGGTCATGTTTTTCTACCGGAAAACGATGGATTGTGCCCTCGGGGTTGGGAGTGAGTCACTGCCTCAAGCTAGGGAGTTCAAGTATCTCGGGATCTTGTTCACAAGTGAGGGTAAAAAACAGCGGCAGATGGACAGGCGGTTTGGTGCGGCGTTAGCCAACCCAATCTCACTCCCAACTCGTCAAATACCGATGCTTAGTCAGTCAAGTTAACGTCAACACACACCTTTCCTAAACCTAACTAGATGGTTTTGTTACCTAAACCTCCTGTGAAGACAGACGTTTTTTTGAAAAGACACTATGCCGGTAACGACTGGAAACTGACATGGCCACATCCCAAACTAACGTTACAGGGGTACCTAGAGCATCATAGTTTGAAGCATAGGGCCACAGACTAAGTGATGATAATTGATGAGTTGAGAGGGAGAATGTCTTCTTTTGAATGCAGAAATTTCACTTATAATAAAATATTTTTCGTGTGATTTTGATACTTTTACTTCAGTAAATTAACTGAATACTAAATCCACCTATTTACACCTCATCCCCGACATTTTCAAAGAAATACATTTTATTTAGATTCTCCCAAAACCCCTTTCAAACAACCATGTCCGACACTTTAAGTGTGTTGGGATGTGATTTATGGCATATTATTATTTCAAACTACAGTTTGGCCATTCATAGAGATTACATTGCTACAGATATATTATTATGAACCTAACATCAGACATATTCTGACATGTAGGTTTGCAGTAACATCTTCTCACTGTGAGTGAAAGAGGTGACATCTCTCTGCATGAGCTGCAATCTGTGGACGCCGCTTTAGCGAACCATCATCATGTGACCTAAAAGCACACATGCTTTGTGGCTTCTTTGTAATGGATACAAACAGCAAAAATACAAATTGCGTAGCTGAAATAAACATGTCTTGTGTTTTAGTAGATAGGTCCTTGTGTATGTATGTTATATATCTGTGCCTAGACGTGATGACGAGCTACTTACTCACTGTGCTTGAGTTTGCATACACCAAATGAAATGCGGAGAATAATAACTCAGCATGAAGCCCTTTCCTGTTTGTTGCCACAGCCGTTAACTTGAGATTTGCACTCTTTTTCATGTTTTGTCTTTTTCTCAGAATGGATTTAATAATCAAACAAGATAGTTAAAGCTTTCAGGTTCAAGTGTAACTATGAACACAGAGGAGAGCCAAACATTAAGTGAACCAGTATTTAGCATGTGAACTATTGCAACTACTACAACTATACTACGGTATACTCTTAAAAGTAATGAATCAAGCCATATAATAAAGCCATGCTAGATGCACGGAATAAAATAAAATTACATGAAATTAAATGCAGTTTTGGTTGAAAATATTATTTCAAAATGAATAACCAGTTGTTATTATCATCATATATTCCTGGAAAAAACAATAGGTGTGTGAACACAAAGATGCCCCAGTATTTCTAAAGATTCAAGTATATCTGAAAATCTGCTGTTTTTTTTGTCATATGGAATATACTTTGTGTTGGATTTTTCATTACTTTACATGTACTGTATCTGCTTCTTCCAGCACGTTACTGAGCTACATCACACAGTGGGAAATATTTAAATCTCTGCCACCTTTGGCCTCACAGTGACCTCAGGTGGAAAAATTGTAGATGCGTTCAGCCAGATGTATTTGGCATGTAAGCATGTGATTTTGACAATATTTTTATTTAACAAATAAAATAATCCTGTGAATTTGGTACGTACCTAACTTTACATTTTCTTTTAGATTCACTCTTTTAAAGTCTATATTTATTTTATTTTCTTTTAGATACATACAAAGCACCTTAGAATTGCCTTAAGTGTTTGAATTGTGCCATATCAATATTTTATTCTTGTCTGCACAACAAGAGCTTGTAATGATGGACCCAACAAATGGTATGTGTAAGTGAAGAGGTGTACAATTTAAAAATGTTGACTTGGTAAGCAATACTGCAACTTAATGCTGCTATCTCTGTTCTGGTTCACTGGTTCACAACTGTAGGCGTGGAGTGTGTAGTTGTGACACTGAGTGAGCTTAACTAAGCGTTCAGACTCTATTAGAAGAAATTATTCTTTTTATACTGAAATTTAAAAAAAGCAAAAAACCCCAAAATGTAAGTTTTTTTTGTAACTCAAAGATTCACTTCCTGATTTTTGTCACAGTACCCTAAAAGGCCTCCAGCTCCCTGAATGTTCTCTCTAATTTGAAACTAAACTGTGAATTATGTAGAGTTTGAAGATGGCTGCAGTGAGCTGGAAGGATAGTTGGAGATTTAGAGGTGTGCGTGAAGGTCATAAAGCCTCTGACATTTCCGAACAATCAACAGTTGTCTGATCCTTGGAATTATATTTTAGTGGCATTAGCGTTGCGGAAAGTCTTTGTCACTGAACACAACAAAACAGCCATTTTTTGTTTTCTTCATTTTAATAAGATTTAAATTTATATCTATTGTATGCAACATGCGCCCATGTGTGCTGATGTACTTTTCATTCCTTTAATGCGTGGTTTTGTTGGATGACAGATGGACTTACTGGTTGCTGTAACACGTGAGGATGTGCTCCAAGATTTGGATCCAGCAGGTTTTCTGCATCGTACCGTATGCCATCGTGTCGTAACAGACTGGGCCCGTGCAGAGGCTGCACACTCTGAAGCTCTGTGAAGTTAGCCCCTTGGAGGTTCTCAAACTCTACAGGGTGTATGTGAGGGTGAGTGTGGTACTCCCAGTGCTCTGAAGAGAGAGAGAGAAACAGCATAATGACCACTGCGTTTTGTTGACTGTACAACTCCAAAACAAGACAGAAATGAACCTCAGTGGTTAACTGGAACACACGGCTTTATATAAAAGTCATAAACATGCCTTTAAAGTGAAGCGGAAATCCATGTTTAAACAGTTTGAGATGACTCATGAAAGAAGCCAGACTGTATGTCTATGGAAATCATTCTTTGTCATTAGATATCTAAAACCACTAAGTCAAAAGCAACTAGACTTGATGACAAGCTACTTACTCACTGTGCTTGAGTTTGCATACACCAAATGAAATGCGGAGAATAATAGAGAATTCAGCATGAAGCCCTTTCCTGTTTGTTGCCACAGCCGTTAACTTGAGATTTGCACTCTTTTTCATGGTTTGTCTTTTTCTCAGAATGGATTGAATAATCAAACAAGATAGTTAAAGCTTTCAGGTTCAAGTGTAACTATGAACACAGAGGAGAGCCAAACATTAAGTGAACCAGTATTTAGCATGCAAACTATTGCAACTACTACAACTATACTACTGTATACTCTTAAAAGTAATGAATCAAGCCATATAATAAAGCCATATCACACATCCACTGTAACACTGTCAGATTACACTTTATGGTGTTCTTATTTGTATTTTCTAAGTATTTTGGAGATAAATATGAGATATTTGTATCACAATGACAACTGGCACATTCTCATTGGGGGCATTTTTTGCTATAAGGTCAGGAATAGATTTTCCCACCCCAATTTATATTGTTTTGGTGCAATATGCAAAACTGTTGATTACAAGAGAAAGTAAAGCCCCTGTCTTGTATCCACAAAACCCCATGGGGCGAAAGTTTGTTCTATGTCTGTAAATTGTAGCGGCCGAAAGAAATGGCATCTGTTTCCTGTGTTCCATACACCCTGATGTGGTGCGCTCCAGCTGCACACTGCAGGCGTTTTACGTATAATGCACCAGAAAAAGACAGGGTTACCACATAAAGTTAATTTGAAGATTAGCAGAATAAAATTACTATTTTAAGTATTTTCTTTTAATTGAAAATTGAAACAAGATTCATGTCATTTGATCTTCCCCCCCACCACCACCACCACCACCACCACCATCATCTATTTGCATTTTAAAATGTTTTTAATTTAAACATCACTCACAGTAACTTAATAGAACAAGTGACAGTTTCAATTGAAACTGTGTTCGTATGAGACAAAACACATGTTGGAGTAAAACTCACCTGCCTGGATATCTGCATCTAGGACATATGGATTATAATATTCTGCAATTTGATGTCTGTAGATCTCAGAATCGTACATTTCTTCTGAGTGCTGAGAGAGCAAATAAAAACATTTTCAGTCACAAGAATTCATGAAAGTAAAATCTTTAACTGGATGCAAATAACACACATTAAATAATAAAACACACCATTTGTAATTGGTAAGTCAGATAAAGCATTAGTAATAGCTGTGTTATCATTATGACTTTTTTCTTTCCACTACTCTTCTGAAACTCTGAAGAAGTTTTGAGTTTCATTTTCATGTCGCCCGTAGTATGAAAGACTTACAGCTTGTGTGCTGTATTCAAATTGAAGTAGACTCACATTAAGTCATTTAATTTGAAATAACACTTGTTGTCCATCCTCTTAACTAACAAATGTGTTTCTGTTTACTGCTGCATTCAAAAAAGAAAACTACTCAAGGAACTCCTCTAAGCTTTAGAGCTTCCTCAGAGTTTAGATAATGATATAAAATAAATAAATGATACTTACAGGCGGGATGAGGTAGCTCTCCATTCTGTATGGATGCAACATGGAGACCTCTTCTCCAACGGACCGAGTCTCAGATGCTTTGCAGGATAAAAAGCTCTCACAACCTTTCAAAACCTTTGCGGCACCATTGCACAATGTTTCAAAATTTCCTCTCACTCAACGAAAACCAAAAGATGTCTCTCCCTCTCTCTTATTGTATAGCATAGAGTTATAACCTGAGCTACACTCGGAGGCCTTCAGCTGGAGTCAAATAAAGTGAAATAAACAAGGCCCGCTGTTTGACTCTAAATTGAAAAAGGAACTTTTGACTTCTGCAAAATGTGTGTGGGTGGGAGCAATAGTGTGTGTCTGTTGAAGGTTCCTGGCCATTGATGATTGTCAGGGGAGACCATGAAGCTTCACATTTATCAGGGTCTACATACTGTCCCCTCCCTTAGCAGCCAATCGTCATCAAGTGTTGTCCTCACTGTCAGTTTCTCCTGACAGTGAGTCTCTTAACGTTTTAAGTTTGCTTGACTTTGTTTGTTTTAATTCTAATTATGGCATGCTTTGGTCTCAACAGCAGTAGAGTCATACTGTAAAAAATAGTGGTTGTTGCCCTTCAGGTCATTTATAAGCAGCACATAAGCTTTTAATAAACGGTTTATTGCACACTATAATATAGTTCTAAGCAGATATAAGGACATCTTTAAGTGCTTATTGATATTTTTGCTGATGTAATATAAATATGTCTTCATTGGAGGAAGTTATCATATATTTTGACATATACTGTACATTAATAAATACAAAAATGTCCTTATATTTGTGAACAACTATTACTGGCTCATAAATGCTAAATTGGGGGGGTTCAAGTAAAGTGTTACCAAATTCAAGACTATACAAACTTATTATGTTTACTAATATATAATTTACTATAACTATATGATGTACTGTACCTTAAAGTAGAATCAATATAAGCTTTATTGAACATGTATGTTCAAGCATACAATGAGATTGTATCTGATTTGCAGTAGCTTTCAGCTTACTTACAAACAGTTCCAATAAAAACCACCATCAGCTTAAGATGATTCTAAATCATATAAAACAAACAAACGTTTGTTTAAAAGATATAATGGAATTTACAGCTTAACAACGACAGGCTTCACTGGATATTATGGATATTATTTTTAGTTTTGAGTGTCACACTAACAGTCACGCGTCCGGGTTCTGACTGCAGACCTGAAACTGACGGACTGAAAGCTCACACTGTAGAGAAATGACTGAAACATGCTGTTTGATGATGTAAACAGGAGTTTGTTGAGGAAGAAAATCGACACGCGCACACACACACACACGCACACACGCACACACACGCACACACACACGCAGCTGGAAGATAAGATGAAGGTTCAGTATCTGTGTTGTAACCACAATGGAGCCAAATGGAGATTATCATTATCACAGATGAGATACTGTAACAACTCCTCAGTGGGAATTGAGTCCCTCTGCAACTAAGAAACTGCATAAGTCTGTTTGTTGGGTTCAGTAATGCATTGTTATGCATTATATCAGGTTTAAGGTGAGTAACCCCAGGTGAATTGGTTTTCTGAAACTGTAGGTTTAAATATGCACATGAGGCATTATCTAATGGTTGCTTTTGGTGAATTTAAGAGAAATCTATAGATGCAAGTGTCGTTTATTAAACACCTAATTGAATATTTTGAATGTTTTCTTTCCACTAGTCTGTAAAAAGAAAAGCTCTAAATTGACCAGTGATTGAAAAACAATGTTTTTGCCTGCGGTGTCTGGCCTCATTTGGTCTAAATGTTCATGAGGCCTTAACGCAAAATAAAAATTAAATATGTTGGTTTTGACAACTGTAAAAACTAAAGATACTGCATATTTCCTAGATGCAGAGATAACAGTTAAAGAGAACAGTTACAGTGCAGCACAAATCTGTGTGTATATTGTTAGCGCTGCCTGTTTAAGAGGAAGACTGCAGCATTGTGATAAGGCAATGCGCTGAAAATATTATTTTCTGTGAGATTAAAATACTGAGGTTAAGTTTATCTTCTCACCGAGGTCAGTGTGTTTATTCCCACGAGCACGAAGAGCTCAACTACACATTACAAACATGGTCAAATCGTGTTTCAAAAACTGCTTTTGTACTTTATGCAACATAGTCAGGTACAGTAATCACACAGGAATCAGAAGCTTATCAGAAGCTGCAAAATACAGTGATTATCGTTGGACATAATATTCACAATAGTTGTACTGCGTGCAGATCTATCGACAACATTAATCTTCTGATGCACATTCAATGTTACATGCTGCTTGACATAACTGTAAAATAGTTGCTTTCGATATATAATGCTGTCTTCTTGTCGGTTGTATTTTCCTTGTTGACTGATGGAAGACCATAATGGCCAGAGTCTCTGTTTGAGGAGCTGTTAAAACCACAGACTGTGGGCAACCTCAACAGGCCCCATTTTAATCACAGCTGGCTGAGCAAAACTGATGACATATAGCCTACAGTAGCATTTTCCGAGAGTATTAATACACAGAGTGAGCTGCAGCACGCCACGCACTATTTCCATCACAACTATTTTCAGTAAAGCCAAAGGATAATTCTTTTTCTGGTGACTTTTTGTTCATGTCGTGAAAGAAAATGACTGAAAAGTGTCTCGTTTAAAACACATTCTATGTTCAACCTAAATTTTGTTAAAGTTTTACTGAGTAAAATCCACATTAATTACATTAAATACTAAGTCAAGTTTATAATAATAGGGTATGTGTTAACATTGACTCAAATCTAAAACTGAAGTTTAGTAGTACGGTATCGTGGAGCTAAAAATGGTGGAGAAATATAAAGTTGCACAGAACCAAAACACTCAAGTTAAGTACAGGTACATCAAAACTGTGCTGAAGTACAGCTCTACTGATCATTTTATATAAAACACGTTATTTAAAAGAGCAAAGCAAAGCCATCCGGTGAGTCAATGAGTTATGTCAACTGTTTTTTGTTCAGATGTATCCACGTTACTTTAAGTGCGGATTGATCTGGAAAAGGACAAAGAAAAACGTATACACTGTCGATCAACTGTACTCATTTTAGTGAAGATGTTATGAACATTTATCAGGTAACATTTATACAGGTAAACAGCACCGACACCAGTGTGTGCTGGATTTTTGGGTTCCTTCACAGTCAGGCTTTTTGATCCAACGCACCTGTCTTCAAGGCAAGAACTTTGTGAAAACTGAACAAAATTAGAAATAAATGAAGTTATTATTTAACAAGACTGGATCTAATTTTCACTTTTCACTAATTGTGTTGTCCGGGTTTGATTGTTAGGCAGTAGGACTGAGGAGCTGCTTTTTTATAACATGCTTGTGTGCAGTACTTTAATTGAGAAATGCAATAAATATTTCAAAACAGCTTAAAAGAATGATTCAGTTGAGAAAATGCCTTCCTTTACCCAGCGTGGGTCAGTAGAGGTATTGATTAAAGTCAAAATAAAATATTGATTCAATCACTGCTGCATCTGCTAGCGTGTAATTAAACTGTATTTAATTCAAGTGATGTTCAGTTCAGATGTAATTTAGTATTCGATTTACAGAGCTAGACATTGACTAAACATTAACATTTAAATCTGAAATAACTATTTTTTAAATGGTATTTCTGGTTTTGTCCTCTTCTTTGATTCCGTGAAGTCTGTTTTTATACACAGATATGAACTAGTTGCAGTCTGTTTGTCTTCCTTGTGGCCTGAGAGATGAGGTACATGCAGAATACAGGACATGCAGTGACATATTATTAAATGAGGAACTGGGAACTTGTCTTTCAGATTCAGTTCCTTGAAGGTCGCCTTTAAATGAATCCATTTACGTGATATATGGTCAGGATTATCCAGACCTCCATATGGTCGGTTGCCTTGTTGCCATCCTCTGTAGGAAACAGCCTTTAAATGTTGCACTGGATGGTTACAAGAAGAAGATAAAGAGACATAGTTAAAGAATGTTAGTGTCAGTATAAAACAAAGCTGTGTATACTGACATAATTAACTGAATTTGTGTGACATATTTGACGTTATTATGTAAAACATTGGAAACTACAGGAAACAGAAGAAGGCAGATAATACTTTTGGCTTTATTACATCCAAATAATTTCCACAAAACTTCCAAAAATCAATTAGAAAGTACTGTCATAAACTGACTTGTATAGTTAAAAGTAATTGATTCATGTTAAGGCCAGAGTGTGTTTAGTCAACCCTTTTACTGGTCTCTTTCACATTCTGCAAGTAGATTACAACATCATAAAAAGACCATAAAACCTGACAGATCACGTGCAGTGCATTGTTTTCCAAAGTGTTTCCATTGGTCATGTGCATAGGATTTTACAGTGACTGTATAATTGTAGTGACATCAACTGTATTGCCAACATACACTCAGTGAGCGCTTTATTAAGTACTCCAATAACATCTAATGCATTCCAATACAACAAGTCAGCCATAGATTCTACCTTTACAAAGATGCTACTGTTCAGTTTTGATTGCTACTGTCAGAGAGGTATTCATTTAACTATATGTTTATCACAGAGGTTGTAGTGTATCTAATGTTTTGCCCTTACCATTTACAAACATACAAGACCAAGACCACTAAATATAACTACACAGTAATACACTTAGTTGAATTTACACCTTTCTGGCAGAAAAAATAGAACATTATAATCTTTACATATGCAGATCCATTAGATTGTATATAATATTATACGTGTACAGGTGTTCAGACTCCTTAAACCATGGTAACAGGGATCCAGCTTCCCATGTGTACTCATAATACAGTGGTGGACACAGTAACATGAGTACGCTTGCTAAATATTGTGAAATCCAAAACAATGGGCCTGAAAACATGTGACTCTTAAAATGCTGTTTTAGCTTTTCAACTCTGTTATGTTGACAGAAAAGCCTCATGATGTAAGCACTAAGCAGTGGTGGAATGTAACTTAATACATTTACTCAAGTACTGCAAGGTTTAGGTACTTGTACTTTATTTGGGTATTTCCATGTGATGCCTCTGTATACTTCTATTCCCAAACAATTCAGGTGAAATATTTGTACTTTTAAATCGAGATTTAGTCTTCGCTTATAGTAACAGGTTTCTAAACAGACTAAGACTTGACATAAAACATACAAAGCTCATGATGAGCTTATAAAATACAAAACATGGTGATTAAATAGATCAAACTCAGAAATATATGAAATACTTCAAATTAGTTCTACCTCGACTACTACTACAATACTAGAATGCTACTTACACATGCATCAGTCAGGGCCACTTTTCTGCATTGAGTACTACTTTTATGATCATTTTACTACAGTTTGCCAATAATGTTTACATACTTTTACTAAAAGCAAACTTTTGCTGATCAGTGGCAACTATTGCAACGAGTTTCAGGTATTGCATAATGTAGCACAATAATCATAAAGTCAGCAATCTAGCTAAGTAATGTGGGTCTTTCCCAGAGCTAGATGAGGAGATCGATACCACTTTCATTTCTCTACAATAAATATGAAGCTAGGTTAGCTTAGCACAAAGAATAGAAACAGCTAGCCTGGCTCTGTTTAAAGTTA